TCAAGAATTGTACTAAAGTCTACAATTATACAAAGTTTCAATATCTACCAACATATACAAAACCTTAATCAACTCTGTACAAATATTTTCCAAAGCTAATTTTTGATATGTGTCAAAATCTTTTAAATTGTGACAATCATACCTTTGGCTAAAGTTATGATTTAGAACTGAAATAAAAGCTAAAACATCTCTTTTTCCACTTCATGATTAATAAGAATTTTGAAATATATTTTCACTACAAAATTTGCGGTCTCCAAATTCATTATTTTTTAAGAATGACATGTGTATGTACACAAATTGTTTTAAATGACTTCTAAGCTATCATACAAGATCATTGTATACGCCAAAGATACAATACTCTCAAACATGCTATCTCCTCTTTTGTTTCATAATGTCAACATCATATGACCTTTACTATCATCTTCTTCTGAGAAAAAATTGAATGACAAACTGTTTGCTTTCTATATTGAAGTTTCTACAACAAAATCAAAAATGTGATCTCCAAGCTTATCGTCACTCCAAAGGTTTTTTTATAACTCATTGTGATTATAAAAGACAAGGATCTGTCAATTTATTTCAATATTTCTATGTTTCAAACATACTGTTACATAATTTCTCCACTCATCATTCAAATACAATCATTCATTGACACTCCAAGATGATAATGAAAATTAATTTTCTAATGATGACACAATATCTCACAAAATGAATTTTCAAATTTGCTTGAAAGTCTATTCAATAATTTTGTATGTATAATACTTTAAAAATACCAAAAGAAATGTGATATTTAGATTCAATTTACTTTTACTAACATAAACCTTGTAGATGTGACTAATTATTATTATGTAACAACATGCCATTGGTTAACATAAATCTTTCAGTAGTTTTGTTATTCCTAGGTTGAGATGGCAATATGATTATTGGGATCTTGAAACTTATAAAACTTTCAATTGCCACTATGTCAACTTTAGACTTAATCTAATCAATGAAAATGATATTACTTAGTCTAATCAATCAAAAGTAAGATGTAGTCAAAGTCTTTTTTTCTTAGAATCCAGATTAAAATGAGAAATAATGTAGTATTATTCAGCCAAAACTTCTGAAGTATTCTAATTATTTTGCCAAGACAAGATTTCATAGCTAGATTTGGTGTTAACTAGCTAAACTTAATCAAAGTTAAACTAATGATGATGAACTTTTTGGATAATTCTAATAACAACTCACACATACAACTATCGATTTTATAGCTCTTTTTGATAGAAGAATCAATCTAACGTTGACATATGAAAGAATCAACTAAAGTTAATATTTAAAATAAAGGATTTGGAAAAATTTGAGATGATATTAAAAATGTATATTCATAGAAAATTTGATGAAAAAGAAACTATGATTGAGTCAAGACAAGTTTGTTCATCATATGTTTGACAAATTTAACACAACATTTAACATAACATGAATATGTAGTACTTTAGTAGCAACCTTCAAACTTTTTGCAACTCTATGTACAACCAATGTCATTGACAAATAAAAGAAGTCATGAATTTTAATCAGTGACAAAGCTATAAACAGTCTCATGTATTTGATGATATCCACAAAGCTTGATATTATTCTAGCAATAAACAAGATGAGCAGGTACATATAAAATCCAAGAAATGTGCATTGGAAAAAAATAAAATGGATTTTTTTGATCTGAATAATACTAAGAGTTATGGTTTATTGTTTGATGAATTAGTAAACAATGCCAAATCTTTGCTAGTCTACATTGCTATTGACTATGGAAAAAATTTAGACAAGAGATAATCTACAACTATGTATAAGTTTACAGTTGGTGGTGAATGCATTAGTTGGAGATCTATCTTGGAGAAGTGCGTAGCTCAGTCTACTGAGACTGAGTATGTAGTAGCATCAAAAGCAAAAAATGAAGCTATTTGGTTGAATAGTTTTATGCTTAGATGAAATTAAAACATTAGGTTGTCAATCTTCATCACTATGATAGCCAAAGCGCGATACATCTTGCTGCAAATCAAATGACGGACAAAAGATGCAACATATTGATATTATTTATCACTTCATCAAACATGCAATTTTGAATAAAAGTAATGAGTTAGTCAAGATTAACAAAAATTCAATCTTGGTGATACATTGACCAAAATTATATTTTGGACACATTGTGATACTATGTAGGTTTTGCATGAGAGGCACAAACAAAGTTCAGTAGCAACTTTTGGTATCTATGTATTTTCTCATTCTATTTTGTTTTGGACACGATTTAGTTCAAGTTAGCTTTGGTGCAAAGAGTGACCTATATATTCTGTTTTGGCCTCGGTTTAGGTCAAGTTAGCTTTGGTGTAAAGAGGGGCTTACGTTAGATTTTGTTCTAGAAATTCCTGCAAAGTAATCATAAAGATTATGGAGATTAATGTTCCCATTACATGAGTTAAGAGTAAGATTAATAATGAAAACTCAAATCTTGGATAAAACTATCCCATGGTTTGATACCACTTTCCGAAGACAAGAAGTAAGATTTGTGCATGTAGTATACAGAGTTGATTATTGTAGCGCGTCAAGAAAAAACCAATAATTTTTTACAATTCAAGATGTTTATGGATCCACGCAAAGCAACATTGCAATATTGATCAACCAATGTTTTTTCTTGAAAAAAATTACAAAACATCTCAATTCAAATTTTTAACATGTTAACGTGAAGCGCATCTTTGGAACATAAATTCTTCTCATTTGTATTTGTTAATTCAAAACTTTGCAATAGTCTATTACTTGAGAAACTTGAAAATATATGTTCATTAAGACAAACTTTCAAGCTTTCTTAGAGAATAAAAGTAGCATAGAATTATTTGACGTTGATGTAATTTTTGATTTTGATAGCGATATAACTTAGATGATTCGATGATTTAGAATTTTCAATAATTTCCACTTAATTGTTGCAAACGATGTAAAATTTTGTAAGATTGTCGATCCACATCTTAGTTGAAATCATGTTAACAATCTCAATTTCCAAATTTTTTTATTCAATCTACTGAAATTGAAATTGAAATTGAAATCAATTTTGGATTCAATTTGTTAATGTGAGTTTACGATAAACTTTTCCAGTAGCATAGAATTATTTGACGTTGATGTAATTTTTGATTTTGATAGCGATGATAACGTAGATGATTCGATGATTTAGAATTTTCAGTAGTTTCCACTTACCTGTTGCAAACAATTTAAAATTTTGTAAGATTGTCGATCAACATCTGAGTTGAAATCATGTTAACAATCTCAATTTCCAAATTTTTTAATTCAATCTACTGAAATTGGAATTGAATTTGAAATCAATTTTGGATTCAATTTGTTGATTTTGAGTTTACTGTAAACTCTCTATACTGCATGTAAGGTCATAATTTCAATCAAATTGATATTACGATAAACTTTTCATATTATGCTTAAGGTTATAATTTTAATGGGAATTGATATAAAGGTCAATTTTTGATTCAATTTGTCAATTTTGGATTTACTGTAAACTTTCTATACTGCATGTAAGGTCATAATTTCAATCAAATTGATATGAAGGTCAGGTTTTGGTTCAATTTGTTGATTTTGAGTTTACTGTAAGCTCTTTATATCTGATAAGACTTACTACGTGCGATTTCCTTCAACTTTGCTAATCGATGATAACCATACGAATTGAAGATGAATGTCTAAAGCATGTACAATAAGTATACTTGATATGGTTTAAATTGATTGCTGCATTATTTGCGGAGCTGTGAAACAAGATGAATGATAGATTTTGGATCTAACACATTAAGTCAGTAACAATGACACGTACGTATAGTTGAAAGATGTGAAGAATATTGAATTGAATTAGAAATAAATTGTAGGTATCACTTTTTTCCAAGTACATGAATGAATGATGACTAAAGAAAACAAGAAGAACCTTGGTGAAAATAGAGCCTGAAGGTTGTGAAAAGCCACTCACTCACTCAAAGACTTACTAGTTCACCTACAAATCAACCTCAATGTATAATCTCCGGACTGACTCCCACATATGTTTACCTCAGATGGCTTTGCAATAGCTCATCATGATTCTAGAAAGCTACGATTGTTACTCATAATTATATTTCAAACACCATTTCACACATTCACTCAATTCATCATCCAAATTTACACATATAGACATTCAAAGATGTTGAAAAACGTCACTATTTCATATATGAAAGAACTCTTTACACATGAATTCTCCATACTTGCTTGAGAGTTTATTTCCTACCTCTCTAGATATATTACTTAAGAAGTTAACATTGTAACAAATGATAAAGTTGTTTCCCATCAGGCACGAGAGAACACAAAGTGAATATCTCTCTCTTGAAGATGTGGTTCGAGGTGAATGACCAGATGAGTAAAGTTGTTTTCCATCAGGCACGAGAGAACACACTGTGAATATCTCTTTCTTGAGAATGTGGTATCAGGTGCGACAATGATAAATAACATCTAACATAAAAATTTACTCTATAATTTTAGTTGATAGCCTGTTGATTAAAACCATGGTTGAATTTGGGATTTTTCACATTTTATTAAAAGCCCGAATTTGCTTTTAAGAAGAATCGGGTTTTTTCCACTCGTGCTATGAAGTGCTTGCTCCTGCAGTGAGCTTCACGGTGACATGAGAGGTAAAGGAATTCATTCGGTTGCGTCAGTAACCGAATTTGAATGTGATTGGTGCAATAAGAGTACAAACTAAAGGGCCGAGACTGCAACGGCAGGAGCAAGTAAAGAAATGGAGAGAGCATCATTGGGAGGAGTCGAAGTTCAAGGAGAATACTTTGCAGGTTTTAGTTCCACCAGTACCATAAAGGTTGTGTAAGTTCAACGGGACAGTAAGAAATCCGAAAGTCTGTCAATTTTATCAGGTTATGAAAGTTGCGCCTTTGTCATATGTCATGTACTTCATGAAACAGAAGAATATCATTTAGTTATATGTTGTCATTATATGACTCTTCTTTCACGTGGTTCAATATAGCAAGGATCAGAACATTCAGACACTAATTTTCGAAAGTTCGGGTTAGGTTACAATATCACTAAACGACCTTCCCCTGCTATTGCTAGCTGAGCAACTAACGACGTACCATAGGGTATATATTTTATATTTAGATGGAGGCAGGGGTCGTTACGATGTCATAGAACCCTTCTAGACCTTGCCGGCACAAAGACTGGACGGATTGATGAGATTCAGTCGACAGTTGACGCTTTCCGAACATCGATATCCCGTTCTTCGGCTCCGTTCGCGTCCATCCACAGGTCCGTGAGTCGGTGCCACGGTGGCTGCCAGCGCGGTACACGCCATGACGATGTAATTGCTGCTGGAGAAGAGAATGTCGGGGCTCGAAGGAGGCCCCGAAGGCTCGAAGCGACACCCGCAATCATGCATTGGCTCTGCCCACGGCACGTGTACGAAGGCCGGTCCGGGGGTCCGCTGGTGGAGCTGCTGTCCATTAGGGTTCGGAAGTTCGGGACCACGAAACGACATGAAGTGCGAGCACAGCGGCCACGTCGGCTGCCAAAGCGCGTGCGAGACACGGAGGCAAATCGCGGGAAGGGAGTGGAGGGGGCGGAAGAAGGGGTAAGGTGGGGGAGAGATCGTTTCCCACCTGGTCGAGAGATTCGCGCATCAAAACGAGCAACGGTCGCTCGTCCCAGTTCGAGGCGAGACGACCAGATGCACCTGACTTCTGGTTCCGCGTCCAAACACACACACACACTACGTTCAACTGCTACTGTACAGCGTGAGATCGGTATCCACGGAAGCGTTTGACCGAAACGGATCTGATCGCCGCGTTCTGAGGAGGAGGAGGAGGTGGAGAAGATTCGGCTGTCAGACATATTTGCATTCCGACACTTTTCGGCTCTTTGGGCTCGTTGTCCTTACGGTGATCAGTGGACCTGACCTGGCCTGCCGGAGGGAGAAGGAATCCTCTTTACTCGTCGGATTGACTAACAGTTACCTTTCTACTTAATGGACGTGGTCTGCTAGGTTTAGTAAGAGGTCACGCTCTTTCCGACTTGCATTGAGGGGAGAGGTTCCAGCCCTGGCTTGCTCCCAGCATTCCACTGACGGACGACGTCACGATGACATACGAACGGAGGATGACGGTTGGTGACACCGGTTTCTGTCTCCAGGGACTGTCTCGTACACTCGTTGTTGCTGATCTGTACTCACTTATTCAAAAGTCGCTGCTGACTTTTGCCTTTTTCCACCTTCTCGCAGTTTCCCAGCTCCAGTTCTAATCCTGGATGAAGAAAATTAGATCAAACCCGTACAGAGCCCAATTATTTTACTCTAAAATCATTAACAAACTAAATCTCAGACGCAAACTAAGGTTTAGAGTATGAGTGCCTGCACCCGGTGCGGATTGTCATTCACCTTTGGTACTCAAAGGAAGACTAAATGATACACTGGAGCTATCCATCGGTTCATGATATAAATAGCGCGACGCTTTGACACAAAGTGCCGTAATGTCTCCATAGATATATCTAGAAACTCCCACCTCTCCCCATCCCTGTAAAGGTTTAAGAGACCTACTGGAGCCATTGCTCTAAACTGACCAGGTGATACTTGTCCTTCGCTCCAAGAAGTTCGATCTAATGCACTCCCAACCTTGGGACAGATCACGTATTTGACGAATGTCAAAATGACTATTTATAGCTCAAGAATTTAGCTGCACGCACAGATTGTGAAAAGTGACTGTAAAACGTTAAAGATGACCCCCATGACCTTCGTCGGGACAATTGATGTTCAAAAGAGTAAAACTTGCCCTCACCATTATTATACAAATTAATAATCGATAGTTACCTTTTACATCTGTAGGAACAGCGGAACAACTTGTACCTTTCCAGTGATAACCAAAATGATCCACTCATACTTGTGAGGCAAGGATGACTGTCACGGTCGACGTCCAACAACGACACGTAGCGGACAGTTTCGTCAGCAGCGCTGTACCGGTGAGACGTGGGGTTATAAATCCAAACAAATATCCACATCCCTTTTGACATGAAATAAGTGATAGGCCTGGCACAAACCAGGGCGAACCCAGAGATCTTGACACGACGCATACGGAAAGTATGACTCATACTTTCCGTATAAAAAGCTAAACAAGAGTAAACTTCGCGTCCGACAGTCTGCCGACCACTGACCAGGTGTCCCCACTGAGAACATAGGACATTAAATAATATATGAAGTCATTAGAAGCAGTGTCGCCACTCACCTCGTCCCACGAATTCGGACAGTTAAGAGATCTGCTCGTGTTGCAAAGAGAGTCGTGCTAAGTTCACTTCATGTGCATATTTTCACCAATGTCAGTGATGATGGGGCTACAAGCACTGCATCAAAACCCAGCAACAATGAACGTGATTTCCGCACTAGGCATTCGTCAAAAAGTTTCTCTTTCGTCGGGTTTCTTACTGCGGTTCAAACAATTCGCAGACCGTGAACACGAGATGTGGACTTACTTCATTGACTTCCACTATCAGTTCACTGTTAGACTAAAGTTTGCTCAACACTAGACTACAGCTGACGCTCACAAGACACAGCCATCACATGAGGTCACAAACACAAAAGCTTAGTTGAGAGTTCAGTCTGCGATATTATACCGACTACTCAGCAAAAAATGGCCAACTTTAAAGCTCGGAGAATGCCCAAGTAATAGACAGTATGCACAAGCGACCTATCTGTCAGAGACAAATGCCAATCTGAAACACTCCGGATGAGAACCGTCGACTGCACCAAAGGTAACCGACATGTAATCACACAATCGGGGCGAAGTACAACCTCCATCTAGACAACATCGAGCCCCGAACTTCTAACATATGAAAAGTTCACCGTACTTACACTGGTGAAAAATATACAGGTATATATATATGGTTCCATCGTTCCTTACAGAACCCTGCAAGTCAAGTAAAAAGAAATCCCCAGTTTCACTGACAACTAACTCGTAACTGATACGATCAGTATGCATGGTACATCCACTAAAAAACACGACGATTTGTTCAAAAACATGTGGAAAGGACGCGGACATGGACAAACACGTCTAGAGTATACCATAGTCGTTCCACCTTGAAACATCTCCTTGCAAAGAAGAATTTATCACAACAACCTGCTCTGTCCAATAGATTACGAAACCTCCGGAAAATCCTGTTACGCCATGTAGGATTGACCAAGTGGCATGCCGGGTTCAGTTGAATCTCACAGATATCCTGACCGCTGTCATAAATGACCGGTAAAAAAACATCATCACTGCTATACATTGCAAGGGATGGAAAAAGACCAATTAAATCACAACATAAACCTGAACTTTCGACGAGATAAATTGAGACGATCTACAGAACACAAGGAAATGAATGGAAAGGCTTTATTACATCCAGGCCTTTCGTGGCTGAGAACTCTTACAAAACTTCCTGGCGATGGAAAGGAGAACCCTTATCTGAACTGCTTGTGCTTGAAGGGCAACCTCCTCTTGTGAAAAAACCCTTGAAAATTACAACCCCCAACTTAGGTATATTTTAAATTTACAACGAACTGTTGATAGAGTCCCACTGCTCTCTTCTTACACTACTTCAGCTCCAGTACACAGTATTCCTTGGCAGAGATGTCGATTTAGAAAAAAAAAACTAGTAAGTACATCTCTCGACCAGACTTGAGAAAGAGGATCTGCAGGATCCATTCAGGGATTTCAAGCACATCCAACACAGCTCAGTCTCCTTGTCCCCATGCTTATTCATTCTTCAAAACTGAAATAAGAAATACCTTTCCTTCCGAATCATCCTCTCAGCCTGTACCTGCACCCTACCGTGGACGAAATGCTGTACACTCAGCTGACTCAAAGGGATTCATTCTTTGACAACTTCCCTGCACGACTCCCTCTTCTGTGTATCTCGAGCCATCCTAAACTCAGCAGCTAATGTACTGCTGAAAAACGGCCATTGCTTGCCACAATCTTTACCTTTTCTGCAATTCTAAGCCAACTTTTAAATGGGACCCAACGCTAGAGTAATCACTCCAAGGTGGATGGTTTCTGTTCCTTCACTAATTTATCGTCAACTATCGTTTCATTTGCTACGACAATATCTTTAGATTCTTCCGGCGTTTGAAGATCTCCACTTTTGTTATCAGAAGCAGCTACAGTCTCTTCCTTGGTTTCTGAAGAAGAAGATTTAGAAGATGATTTTTTCTGTAAGCTTGCCGTTGACGCTCCCTCGACTGCGGGGGAGCAGGAGCTCACGACTGCCTCAGCTGATCCACCCCCCTTGCCATGAGAATTGTCTTCCACAACAGTTTCGGCAGGTTTTTCCAACTTGGGTGCCTTAGGTTGCTGCAGCTGCATAGATTCAGCCGGTGTTGGTTGTAAAAGTTGAGGTCGACCCTGCTCTGATCGTGTTTGTTCGGGTTCATTCCCAGCTCGCCCACCTCCCTGAGATCAGGCAAATGATCAGATCTGAGTCAGAGACTCTCTTTATTCATTAATTACTAAAGAGGCGGCTTAGAGAGACACTGCACATGTAAGCAACTCGGTGCCGTAAGATTGCACAACGGCGACGCAAAAACACTTGCGTTTCCACAAATCAAAGAATGAACCCATAAATTCTGCACTCTCTAAGGTAGAAAGCACCTTAGTGAGTGCAGAACATGATGCATAGGCCAGTCCTGAACCATTAAAAAAGTCCTGGAGGAAGCGGAATTCCTGGAAGAGGAAGGACCTATGTAATTTGCAGTAAGAAGACTATTGTCATGCACAGAATCTACAAACACATAGAAAACTTTCAACATGGATTCGCCAAAGGCACAGACATTCTTGGATTCTTAGATCAATTTCGGTGGCGAGTGGAACTGTCATATCCTTTTCGATGTGCGTGTGACAGTAAAAAGAAGGGAGGGGCTAGTTATCCCACAGTTTGGGCTAATTATCCCTCGCCCTAGGCTAATGTGCACTGCTTCTCCCCTTACCCTGAGCCCGCGCGAAGATTATATCAAGGAGCTCTAGTAAACATAGGGATAGCTCTGACCAATCACAGAGCTCTGTTCAGTAAGGTGAGGGATAATTAGCCCAAACTTATGGATAACTAGCCCCTCCCTAAAAAGAAATGTGACAAGAAGTTGCTACATTATTAGTAATACCTGTTGCCGTTGCAATTCACGAAGCTGTTGTGCCTGCTGCCTTGCTCGCTTCTCCTGCATTGCTCTCTGACGGCTTTCGTAGAACTGAAAGTCATCCAGGATTGAAGTTTTCGAAGCGTAACTCTTAAAAATATTCAGCATCTCCACACCTTGCTCGAATTTCACCTGGATAATGAGATAAAGATCAGAGCCCGTATACGACCAACATTTCAATTAGAAGGGACACCTCTTAACAACCAATGTATGGTACCAGAGTTACGAATCAATCAATCAATGTATGCCACAAGTGAAGTACCTCTTGAGTGTCTCGGCTGTTGGTCACAGGCTTGTTATCATTGTTTTCAAGAATGATATGACGGAATTGGCAGTTTGGAATGTCTTTGATAATATGCCACTTCACAGGAAAACGACCATTCCACTTATCTTGCTGCCAATAGTCCACACTTTTATTGAAATCAACAGGGCCCGTCATTTCGGCCACACCACAGAACTGTCCACTAGCATTGACCTGCACACATGCAAAGTAGATCCAATTCCAGCTGAGCAACTACTTACATATCTTCAATTCCAAGCTTTAGTGAACTTGCTCAACAGAACCACTTCAATCGACAAGCCGACTCAATAGAAGTCAGGCTTGTCCCATACAGAACATATTGCTAGACACACAAAGCTTCCTGTGAGATACAACAGTTAAAGACTTACTGAGAAAAAGAAGAAGACAGGACATGGCCCTTGTCTTGTCTGTGCGTCTTGATAAGCTCCCTCCAGTCTTTTATTGCCATTGGGAGTACTCGCCCACACGTTGTACTTGATACTTTTGTGCACGTCGTCCTCACTATACGACTTGATGACAAAAAACTTCGCTTGATCATATTTGGTTTGAAAGTCAGGGCGGTTGTATAACTCTCTGTTAGCAACTGCACTCAACGCCTCGTTACTTCCATTAGCTCCTGCACCTTGTCCCCTAGTATGCCGAAGTACCCCTGGAGTGGTGCGTTGACTCCTTATTCTTGTAGTGCGGGGTCCTCTGTTCTGTTCATTCAATATGTCTAGGTTTCCACTACCATTCCCTAATGGTCCAGCTCCCCTACCACCCCTCGGCTTTCCCTTGTCCACACCAATCCAACCACGACCTCCGTTGGATCGCGAGTCCATTCCGGAGCCTGGCATTCCCCGGCCGCCTCTCCCAGATCCATTCGGACTTTGCATCACCCTTCCAAGGGGTGGATACCCTCTAGCTAACGCCCCTGGACCTAGAGTTGGAGAGGCAATTGAATGTGATCTCTGTTGTGGCGCCCCCGATATGTGTAGCTGAAAGAGATTACGAAACCTGGTGTCAATTTCCAAAGTATCAACGAAAGTAACACACAGTGCCCAAAAAGCTACACAACATGCAACGGGACTATGAGGCTGAAACACCCACCTGCATTGGAGTTATCGGTCGCATTGACTGCGAAGGAATCCCAGGAGCAGACAGGGGTTGAGAAACAACATGCATGGCAGGCACTCCTGGTCTCTGCTGACCTTCTGTAATTTTAGTTACATCCGCCCATGATGGAGCACCTGCCCTTAAGCCCTCGTAATTCCTAATATCTTGAGGATTATGGATAGCAAGCGGTAGAACACCCCTCGCGTATGGACCATGTGAAGGAATCAAGGTCACCGGATAGCCAGGCCTTGGACCCATGGAGACGTTACTCCCATTTGCCATGGTACCATTCCCGCCTTCGACTCCAGGAGGACCGGGCTCGCCTGGTCCAGATGTGGGAGCATCTCCCGCCATCGACGTTGGAGTTGACATGTACTGGCCACCAGGAGAGACTGGCTGTTGATACATGTGACCTGGGTACTGAAATGCTTGAGGTCCATAAAGCTGCCCATCTGCTCCCATGGTAGGAATGGGTGCCCCTGGATTGTAAGGACCGTATGCAGGCTGTGATGCAAATCCGTAACCTGGGTGATGATACAGAACTGACCCATTCTCACCATACACACCCTGCAGGAAACAAGGCGTGAGAACACTCACCAATTGAGATTGCGGGTTGAAACAAAACAACTTGTGGGTATACTCAAGCTCAATCGTCAGACAAAAATACTCAACTGTAAGCGACACACCAAGGCAAGAACAAAAATCAGAAGATCTACCTGAGCTGGAATCTCCACTCCATCGACACCAACGAATCGTGCATACTCGTCCCACTCCCCTGTTACAGGTCCCTCAAAACCAGCGACTGTTTTGAGAAAATGAGTGAGAAAAAACCAATTTCTCAACGAAAAACTACAAACCTAATGATAAAAAACTTTCACGTCTTGCTCAGGCCGCCTACGACGCCTCACCTCCGTGGGGATACTCATAAACGTAGCCGTGTGGGGCGTAGCCATTGGCTGCGTAGTACACCCCAGGTTCGATGACTCCTTCGTGCGCGCCATTGTTGCTTGCTGCATCACCAGTGCCACCTGACGCTGATGCATCAGCACTACCATCAGATGAATTGCCATCCTGGCTGGGAGGGGCCTGACATGACACGTCAATCGACCGAATCATCAGTGAAGAGTTGAGCACTTCTCATCGACAAGCTGCTCCGCAAGCAAAATCATTGCTAAGCCCTGCCTTTGTTTTGACTTTGTTCCCGGATTTATGAGGCAAACCAGTTATGTTGAGCCAACTTGAATCATAAGCGAGAAACGTGGCACGCGTGAAAAAATCTAATGATCGACTAATGACAATGATGAACCTTCAACTGACGCTTAGCTATGCAAACGTAAAGCAAAACATGCACACGGCGTCTACAGAAGTGCGCGGAATGATACAAATGACGCACTTCATAGGTGCATCACAACATAGAGAGTACGTAAGCCAACGGTAATCATCAACCCGTCTGACTAACATTAGGTTTAATACAAAACCCGGTGCGGGAGAATAGATTTGTCATGCATGTCTCACCTCGGAATTCGTCTCTCCAGGCTTGTTGGCAGTATCCACTTTGAGACTTTGCAGCATATCGCTCACTTCTGATGCCGGAAATCAAGTCAAGGTTCCAAACCCTAATGAAAATAGCAGACTTGCAAAATGGAACCAAGCATACACATTTCAACTAACGTACTTGTGAGGACAGAGCATGGACTCGAGTACAGAATCGAAGGAAGATGCACACAATGCAGACAGGTAGGGGCGGAAGGTCAGCGATTCAACAGATCGTTCGCAATGTCATTGATGTACTGGCTTCGGAAAGTTCAATGACAAGGGTGAGTCTTAGACTGAATGCAGCACAGCTCGAGAGCATGATTTAGCCTGCAGAAACTAAACGCTAAACGCATCAACCAAGATGGATCAAGGGATCCGCATAACAGGAGGTGGAACTGATTCGCCCGTGATTGGCTGAATTATATGACTATCTCTTTGCGAAAAAGAGAAGCGCAAGGACAAATTCGCAGGACCAGTACACTGAAGAAATTTACTTGCGCTTCCGTGTACGGAACATTTCCCATGTACACAGGAAACACTTGAAATGATCTAACCTGTAACTTCCATGAGCAACCAACAATGCCCCATCCCTGTGACATCACCAGCTGTCGATCAAAACGCTTCGATATATCCACAGGTACTCACTAGGAGACCGAGGTCAGAAACCCTAGATAGCAAATCGGACATGATGGAACGATAACTAACCGTCTGAAACGCGAGGCAAACGGCCGCAGAGGTTGCCCGATCTGTTTCATGGCCCACATCGAGGCGGCTTACTACTGCTAATGTCACATCTCCTGAAGACCTTACTGGAGTGCTGAGCCATCCACTACAGCTGCAGTACAAGAGTCTTGCAAATTTAATCACGGCTTTAGGTCAAGTCCAGAATCTCCAATCAGATCGTGAAAGCTGCAGCAGTGCAACTACTTCGAAAGACCTTCCGGACAGAACCGATGGCAGAGAAGATCGAAGTGCAACATTATATCTTATCCCGCCTTCCTGATGAGAAATAGGCCGTGACGAGCACAAACGGCCCAGGCTCGAGCTACGAATTTAGACACACGAAGGGTCTCCGAACCATAATACGCACTCCTAGACATGTGCATAAGTCCAGTTGATAAATAACGTCACAAGGCATGACTTGCGAGAAGACATGCAGGAGTGGGGATCGGTACTTAGATCCCAAATACGCGCCGGGGTGGGACTACTCAGAACATAAGGCGTGTCAACGTGTGCGACACCGAGCCGCGAAGAGCATGTCACAAGTCTCTCATGCCTAAACCTAAAACTAGAGTCAACTTGTTCACCTCAATAACTTGTAAGAACATCCATGCTGAAATGTGAAATAAGAAACCGAGAAGCCATATCTTCGTGAAAAAAACCCCCCAAGTAAATCAAGAATGGCAGATTGGAGGACATGTGTTGTCGGCGCTCAGTAACCCAAGAACAGGGCAGGAGATCTACGGGGTGATTCCCAAGAGCTACAGGTGAAATATCTCACGCCCTCAGCGGGATAACAGAGGGGACCAAAAACTCTCATCATGAGAGAACAGCCACAATCCAGATGTAGGACGGTGTCATGAGGCAAGTGGATTTACGAAATCAGTACTTCGCAGAGCGCGGCAAAAGAAATGCCAAACTTCCGCCTGCTGTTAACAGACGAAACATCATACGTGGTCCCAAAAAGACCCTTCAATCTCGCCTTCGGCAGATAGCAAACAATCGGGGGCTTGCAAACAACGCAGCGGATGTGTGATCATCACGGCAACACTTTTGTGCTTGAGTTGGTTCAGACGACTCCAGAAGCATCAGACAATACTCGAGACTCAAATAAAATCGGACTGGACGTGAACGAAAAATGCTGCAAAGTTTTGGATACGATCAGCAGGTTGAGCGACTGCCGCCATATCTTCTTTAGACCCAAAGCTCGGGGGAGTGCTTAGAACCACGCGGAATCAAATTTCTGCTCAATTGCACAACCAAGCCGGAGGAGCTTTCGTCCGAGGTGGGATTCCAAGTTGGGATTCCAAGTTAACCTACACTTAATCCAAGAGTGAAGGTTCAACCGCTCCGGCACTTGATGAACGCTAAACCAGAAACGCCGAGAGTTCCACTAGATTCCTGGAGGATTGATGCACCAGTTTTCACCTGCTTGAGACCCTCCCTACAGTTCTGGCAACCCTACCGTCGTTGTGCTTCCTGCAGCGCATACACAAGTGATCACCTCCGGTCGAAACTGCTATATTCCACGAGTAGTCGCAATCGCACCACCGATCCACTCACCGATCCCTGCTCCAATACTACTACTGCCCTCTCCCTTTCCCTCTCGCGCTCTCTCTGTATCACTCGCTCGCTTACGCCGTAGACCTATCGCCCTCGCCTCCGCTTCCAGACAGGCAAGAAGAAAATAACGCTTGCAGTCAAGCAGTCGGTACAAGCCAAGCCAAGCAAAGCCAAGCCCCAATCGTCGCAGAAGTCAAAAAACACATAAGTTACGGAAAAGTGTTTTGCAACAACAGACCGACCCCAAGCGTCAATATTCTACACTACTAGGTCTGGTAGGCAGGCAGGCTCCGTCCGCAGCCGGAGAATTGTAGGACCGAGAGCGATAAAAGTGCGTGCCAAGCTGCTGCTGCTGCTTTCTAGACGAACGCTTGAGCGAGCGAGCGAGCGAAGCCAGAGCGACAAAATGCAAGTGGTAGGAAGGAGGAGGGAGCCAGTCAGGGGGGCAGCCCCGAAGGAAGGAAGGAAGGGAGGAAGGAAGGAGTGGGAGTGGGAGTGGGAAAAATGACTGTAGGAAAAGAAGGCTTGATGAACCCGAACACATGCGCAGCGGCAGATGATAATGATGATGATGATGCGGAAGAAGGAGAAGCACAAGCAGGACGATCAAAGCTCTCCTGTATTAGGGAAGGAAGGAGGGAGGGAGGGGGAGAGGGAAGGAAGGAAAGAAAGAAAGAAGGAAGGAAGGAGGGAATGAATGGGCGACAAGAGAAGGCAACGAAGGGCAGCAGCAGCAGCAGGGGAGGGGAAACCGAAGGCGAGGGTATCGGCCCCGTCACTGACGAAGACGAGATGAACAGTTTGCGGACCACGACGAAAATTTAGGAGGAATGGAAAGGAGCAAACGCAGGCCCCGGCCGAAGGAAAAGGCGTGGCCGATTTCTAGCACGAATAGTGCTACCCCACTAGAGTCTAGCAGCAGCAGCAGCAACAACACCACCTCCGGATGCGGTCCCGTCTGGTGTGGTCCGGTCCAGGGAAGCGGAGCGAGACAGAAGAAAGAAAGAAGGAAAGAAAGCAGCAGAGGCCGCAAAGGAGGAAGGTGGGGACAACGGAAGAGGATTCCGGAGCAAGCAAGCGAGAGGAACTTCCATAACAGCAGCAGCAGCAGAAGGCCGACGATCGAGCGGGCGAGCGAGCCAACCAGCGAACCGGAAGGCGGGTCGAGGAAATTGGCGTGCCTCGGTGGGGCCCCTCGGCCTCAGGCCCACTCAACCCGGACCGGAACCCGAAGTCAGACAGACAACACGGACACCCCCCCAACCCCCAACCCTTAACCCTTAACACAACCACTGACCCCACCCCGGGTCAAGGAGTTGGAACCCCGCCACGCGCTCTTCTCTCTAGCTAGGGCAACGCAACCATCCACTCGTTCTTTGATTCATCCGTGCATTCCATCCCATCGCATCCCATCGCATCGCATCCCGTCGGGCACTCGACGACGAGGACGACTCCGACTCCGGTTCCGGTTCCGGCTCCGGCTCAACAAACCGTTCGTTGCAGGCTGGCGCGACTTGACGGCTAGGGCTAGATGACCGGCCCGCGCAGTCACCTGGGGGGTTCCGGGCCGGGTGGTGGTGGTGGTGGTGGGTCAGTTAGCGAACAACAGCATGCCAGACATTTTGACCTAAAATTCGCGCTCCGCTCCGCAACGAAATCTCCTGTTTGCCTATTCCCTTTCACACCTGCCTGACACTCAACGACGACGAGGACGACGACGACGCGGGCGCGGACTTCCAACCCTCTGACCCATTCCTGGCTGACAAGGAAAGGAGAGGCGGACATGGACAGAGACAGAAAGAGAGAGAGAGACGGGGGAGTCTCGACTTGTGAAGAATCGGCTCCAGTGGCATTCCAGGAACCCTAAAGACTCGTACTTTAGGAGTGTCCGGGGTTCTTGTCCTCGGCGACCCGTGCGTGGGACTCAATTTCCCTCCCAGCTCAGCAGGGCTCGCTGATTCGTCTCTCTCGCTCGCAGACACGTGGTCCGCTTTCATTAGACGCCAGCTCTCCGTGGCAATCGGTCGCCGCCGGATCCACTCGCCTTCTCGTCTGTACTGTGCGCCGGGAGGAAAGTATATTCTACAGTAGGTCGACGAATAGCGTCCAGTTGTTCGCTCTGATCTGCTCTCGACTTGGGCTTGGGCGGAAGTCGCCTTCCTCGCTGGAAGGCGACCGGACGGGCTCGACTCGATTCCGGTCAGCTCGACGGGCCATGCATTGCACGTGTCGATGCATGGCTCGGCTTCGGCCGGCCTGGCTGAATCTGCACATCTCGTTACTGGAACCCCCGGCCCTGGCAAACCCTAATCGCTGTCCTAGTACTGCGAGGGTCACAGAGCGAGCGAGCAGCGAGGAATGTGGAAGATTCGGGACTCGTCCTCCATTTCGCTGCGAGGTGCGAGGGGTTTAGGGTTTCTGGTGTAGTTCGTTAGAGCCCAATACTCGTACTGTATGTATTTCGGGCGGTCCTGGAGTTTCGTGCGCGAATTCATTTACTTGCCCTACAGGGCTTCCCTTTCTATCTGAAACAGTCAAGTCGAGTATATCCACACAGCGAGGGCATGTCAAGTTTGGCACCTCACTTTACTTCCCTCGCGAGCCTGAACATGTGTCCCTGCTAGACTTACACACTGCAGTATTGGACTTGCATGACGCTCATCATTTGTCCTTCCTCTTCCGGAGCTCAAGATTATTTCCGCGAAATTCCCCGACGTTTTCACCCCCCGGTAGTAGTGAAAACGGGCGACAAACTTGGCCCATTGGGTTCACCCTTTCCAAGCAAAGGTTGCTATCATTCTCGATGGATTGGTTGTGTGTGGGGTGGATCAATCCTGCTGTCGAGGTAGGTGTCTCTGTGTGTGTTTGTTGCATGTGGCGATGCAGCCGTCAGGACACCATCGACCAGAATTGGAGATCACAGAACTGTGAATGAGACTGAGTATGAGAAGAAAAACGGATAAATTAGAAGAGAAGGTCACTGGCGGAGACTACTCATGATAAGTTAAACTGGAAGGACACCATTACGGATGTCATGACAGCTAATTGATGGAAGTAGGGATATGAGTTGAGTCTCCAATATAAAAGGGTACCTTTATTTTGGTGCAATGTTTAAAATTGAGAGCAATTTTTCTGGTTAACAAATTCACAGCAGTAAATTTTCATTGACATCAAATTTCATCGTAGAATTGCAATAGACGAGAGGAGACAATTATAACTGGAGAGTAATTAGAGTATAGAAAATCACAGTCATAATTTACAATTCACTTATTTTCTATGGAGATTACTTGGGCTACCTTTTTACTTTATTCCATCGTCCCGAGATACACCCAGGAAACTTTACCCGGATCTGCCAACGTGTATTGGTTAACATAATGTATGATTTTTTTGGCCCTGGGATATTAGGAAACCATTTAGCATGTTTTTTACATGATTTGGGAAATCTCATTTTTTTTAAATTTATGGATTGTCCCCGTTCATATTCCACAAATAAATTTCAAGGTAAATATGTGAAAGAGATCAAGACCACTTGTAAAAAGATTTATCATGCAGAAGATGAAAGCTTATATTGAAGATTTTCCACTATCCTTTATCAAAATGTCAGTTTCAATGTATTCTTTGATGAAGAAATACGAAGTGTAACTAATGTAGGTGATCAATGATGTATTAGTTATTTTAGACTATTTTGAAATTGTAAATTTTGTATGTTTATAAAATTTTGTTGTTATTCTCTGTTGCTTGTTCCGCTTAATAAGATATTTCATTCGTTTTTATCTTATTACAATAATCATAATTTATTCTTCATTATAGTCATATGTATAGCCGCAAAGAACATATTGACGACATGAAAATATTGTGTTATCTTATCTATTAAAACTAGTTTATATATAATAGCATTGACGATGTTGGTTTATATATTTTGGCTATTGAAATGATATACTTAGTCAAAAGTTTTAATGTTAAGTATTAAAGAAATGAGGTTCTATAGAAAACTGAAAGGAATTATATTAGAATTTTTGTTTTTACTCTAAATATCAAAATTTTATTTTGAAAAAATACGATTTATAAATGAATGAATGAATAATTTTAAATAAGATATATTCAGCTCTAGTGTCTAGAATTAGTTTCTAGATTCATTGTAATTATTCGTATAAATTTAAAGTCATTCATAAATTTCTATCAATTTAAACGTGATCAAACTAGTATTGATCAAAATGCATCAATAAATTCTCATCATCATTTGTTTATAAATTCATGCTTGGTTTGGATCTGCTATTTCTACACTAGATCGGACATCCAATTACAATCACATTCGTTTTATTTAATTTGGGATCATGAGTCTCGAAACGTCACATCCCTCTTTCCTTTGACTATTTTGTACCTGCATCATTTATTGAACTCTATATCGATAGAAAGTGCATGTTCTGGTTGTCTTTCCAACGGGTGTGACTAGCGGGGAGCAATTGTGAGGAGTCCTCAGAATGTTGACCACGAGAGACAAGACAACTTTGCTTCTGGGTCAAGAGACATGATGCTCCAGAGTGAGGCTAACGCAACCAAATTTGAACCTCACACATGATCCAGTAAAGCTTCAGTTTGATTTTAATGTCTGTGATTCCTACTTTTAGAGGCTTTAGTGAGATCTTTTCCCACTGACGAGAGAACTTCGCACACAAAATATCTTGGAGACATTATCCTATCCTAGGACCCATCTCTGGGAGGAAGGCTCTGATAAATATGCCTTTCTTTGGAGACTCACTTGGTGAGCAAGACAAGTATGATTGTATTACATACATAATAATTGTAATACATACTAGTACATTGTGTAATTGTCATTCTTTACATTAATTTATATGTACAATCATCATGGCATGATATAATGTTTCATCATATGTCCATCAAAATGACATATCTTTTTATATTTGTTGGCAACTGTGCCATAAATCAGAGCATTTGACCTGTATATCATATTAGGTGACATGTGTTTTTCATTATGATGCTATGATGCATTGAAACTATCTTAGCCCTTTTGTTTTATCCATGTAAGACTTGATGAACTATTATCATCGCTATTTTACAAAAATGGTTATATTTGAAAAGGATGAAAAGCCAAATAAGGGCTATAACAGGAGGCAGTAAATGCTGATGACACCAACACCAAGCAAGCGGGATGGCAGGGTTCTGGGTTTATACTGAAAACATGTTTTTAGAAGAAACAGATAGGATGAATGAAGTACTCAAGAATGAATGAAGTACACTCGTGCTTTAGGATGTATTGCCCTCCAAATTTCTTGCATGCCCATGATCTTTCGTGATCTCATCCTAGAATATGCAAACTGTGTACATTGTATACTTTCAGGAAAAGATTCTCGATGCGAACAATTAGTTGATGCGTGCGTTAAGTCTGCTCCATAATCAAGTTGTAGATCTCACCAGCCGTGAGACATAGGATAAAGGGGGCAATCCTTGGATTTTTGGCCGACAGTTATGTCTAATTCTCCGAGTGATCGTAACTGGCAATTCCGATGCCCAATTGACCATTCGTCTCACACGAAGATCCGAGTTTCTTCTCATTAGACTTGTAGTAGCAGTACAGTTTCTCACCCATCTTCTTCCAGAAGCGCCCAGTTATGGGAGAGTTTCTCAATTACATAAAAAAACAACATTGCCGCAAATGAGATCATAGATGATGATCTCAAATGTGCCACATGTCCAGCATGTCACCAACTATGTAAGCTGATGACTGTCGAACCAAGTGAGAATGTCGCTGACGCTATGGCGATTATGTAATTTGTCTTGTGAACCAATGGAGTTTGACGATGTGAGGGACTACAAGCAGATCAGCTATGCATAAACCAAAATGCTTGCAGGTTTGACCTCAGCTCGAGGTGCTGATGAGGTGGGTTACTAATCAATCAGGTCAACGGGAATGACTGAGAATTTGAGTATGAAAAACTTGCGAACTATACACGTGGAACATACAAAGTTGGGTGCCATGGATTCGGAACTCCCTAACGTCACATCTTTGCATCCCGACAGATTCAGGATGATAAGTCTAACAATCAGTTCAGCCTATATCAAATGTCGCATACTTTTACTTTACAAAGCTGCACTCAAAAGTGGTTACCAGCTCTCTTAAAGTGGAACTCTGTACCCAGGATCTTCCATTACAAGTACAAATAAGTTTCCCTTGTATCCTCGAGAAACCCTGCACATAAAAAGTAATAATTTTAGAAACTTGGCAAGATATACCTGTAGGTTTAATTGCGTCCCGTGAAAGAAACAAGTACACCGAACACAAATGATCGTCAAAGCCTACAGTAAAACACACCGCAGCTGCTCGTCGACGTAGGTAATTTCCAGCTCACCACGCGCCCGCTCCGGAGCTTTTACGCTCACCTGGAAAACCCAAAGGCAGGATAGGCCAATGAAATTGGTTTTAGTGCAAAACACAAGATCCCAACATCGATCGACAAATGCAACAGGGGAAGGTGAAATGGTTGTACACAGTGCTTTGAACTTGTTAGCGTAATGTGGAACCTTTCCAAACAGATAAAGATAATTGTGTTGCTTCCATTATGGCATTCAGGACAATCAAGCATTTCAAGAGAAATGTATACAATTCCGACGGTGTTGCTTATTGAGTAAAAAACTGCACAGAAAGTGGATCGGCTGGGTAGAACCTGTAAGTAGCCTAGTAGTACTGTTCAGTCCTACAAGTTCACTGAAGGATAAGTCCGAAAATTACGAACACGTATGCTCTCTGACACGTTGAAGAATTCGCGGTTGAAAGAAATCAACCCGCCAATGCATCCTCACTTAGCCAGATAAGTAAAGAAGGTACAAGCGAGTTCAAATTTCTGGATCTTGAGGATCTGACAGCGAGACATAGCTCGGGAGGAAACTGCAAAAAGCGAAGAAGATCATGAAGGTAGAGGGTAAGGAAGCAGACCTGACTTGGCTAATGAACCTACAAGTAAATTGCAGGTTAATATCCTGGTACAGAAGGTTTTTGACCCGTATCTGTCCGCCATGCAGAACTTTTGCAGTACAGTCATCAGAGATCAATTTATATATGGAACAGGCAGACAAGACAAGGCCGTAGCTTTGGCCTCGCCCTCCTCGCCCGCTCCACGGCCCGCTTTCCGCTTACCACAGCGGCTCATCGGATAAGCACAAGTAGCTCTCTATACTCAAGACATGGCAGATCGTGCCCAAGCTGTCACTAGGAAGCCTGGTTTGGCTTAATCTCAAGCTTCATGCGATGCGCAACCGAAGCTACATGTGAACAGGCTGGATATAATCGGCTCAGTGTGTCCCTTAGGTGGGACTCTGAGTTCAAAATATGTTTCAATCCGCTAAGTTAGGAGCTAGCTGAGGTTGTCTGAGGAATCATAGCTAGAGAGAAGAGAACCCAAATGGATCTAAATTACCTACTACGTGTAATGTACACAACAGGGCTCGAAAAGCATAGACTGTTACTCTGTAACTTCATCTAGAAAGTACACGGAGCCTTTGCATTTGAAATTATCATGTGTTAGGCTCAATGAACGATATCGGAAGGCATGAATTTTCGAAGTGGAAATACCTGAGAAGTGATCGTCCTCCACACTTCAATGGATCTGGTTCAAGATGAACGCAAGCTCCTGACAGAGCTTCGTATAATTCATTTCCTTCAGAAAGATGGAAAGTACGACTACTTCATTTCCACACATCTATCCATGTTGGAAATAAACTTGAGTCCAAGGCACCGACTTCGGCTAGCCGGAATGGATTCCAGTCTTCACTTTATCAACATCTGCTGCTCAGTGCTCTAAGGACTTCCAATCTTTCATTTCGGTTGTCGGTCATCCGTTTTTGGAGCACACAAAAGGCAAGGCAAAATTCTCTTTCCATAGCACGTTTTGCAGCGTGACCAGCCAACTCTGCCTTTCACTCCTGCGAGACCCGGCTTTGTCACATACCCACCTTCACCCATACAGCTTCCACATCTCATCCAACCTTCTCGGTTCCCACAAAGTCCGCACCACTTTAACTCTGGTTTATCCGAGTAAGGAAGTCGAGTCTTTACAAGAAAGTAACAAGGGTTCTTCCAATCTTCTGATTCGAAACCACCGCAGTCTGACACTTTGACAGGTCCTGCATTGCCTACTGTAGTATGACTTGGAAGACAAAGCTCAGCCAGACTAAGTGACTTCGAGAAAAGATGCGGGATCCTGCTCGTAACGCCCGTCACCTTACCAATTGAGATAATTGACTGCGTCCAAGAAAATGCATTATTTATGGGGGGTGAACAAAGGATTAAACTTTCACCTTCTAACATATTACCTTACCATATGCCTTCTTGCAATATGCAGAATTCTGGAGTTCGTCAGATGTGACTCTTCCGTGCAAACCCAGTACAGCTAGTTTCTTGATTTCAAGTGGGTAAAGGGCCAGAGCAGTTGCAGATGAAGGAGCTAGGAAATTTTCCTTAACGGCAGATATGCCTACTTGGCGTCAAGCGAAGCCTTTGTGGCAAGATATTAAACGTGGGCACACAATGGTTTCGTGATGATGCAGCACCAAGAAGCAAGATGATCTGACCACCAAAAAAGTGATAAGAAAATCATGCGTTTGTGGGGCGAGTTTGCATGGTGTAATGTCAGTATGCGACTTCTTCGAAACCCCCAAATTGTGAATCCTTACCAAACCTGATAGTTCACAATGCATACTTTTGAAATGATCGTGAATGCCACAAAGTCGGACCACTTCCTAAGATGCGTAACACGGGCCTTATGTATTTTCCATTTATGTATTCACTCGGTGTCACTGATGTTGAACTACAGACAACACATCAACTGGGAAATCATGTCTGCTAGACGATGTAATGTCCTAAATATGTTTTAGTTCTCGGTTTCAATAAGCTTACCAGACCAAAAAGCTTGAAGTAGTCAAACTTAACTAGCACCTTCCTCGAATCAATCGGTACCAGATTGGCCGTGACCTGTGCAGAAAAACAGAAGCAGCACGTCATTGACAGATAGCACTCAAAGACAGGGTCATGCTGCAAAACCTGAGAAGCCCGTGTGTATAAGTCAAGAAAAGATTGCAGACGAGAGAGAAATGTCAACAACAACAACATGCCATTCCTATGAATCTAATCTACTTCGAGAACAGAGTAGGAAAATAAATGCTCTGATCTCTCAGCTTCCAAACGATTTAAAATTTTTCCTTACTTGATTAAAATAAGGCCACGTTTCCATGTTCTGAGCTCTGAGTGTATCTGTGTTGATAGCTTGATAGATTGGTCCATTTGGTCTCAACAAACCAGGCCTCTGCATGCAAACCAAAGAAACTTCATTTTTCCGACTTCAATGATAGATAAGTAACCTCAAGCAGAAAGTAGTTCATTGGAATCAAAATCTTCTCCTTGTCCCAAACATTCTATCTGTTGACATATACCGTTACAAGCTAAAACAAAACGACAAGCCCATTTCAATAAAACTGATTTTCATATACATTCATGAGCAAGTAACGGACAATGTCATGAACTAATTGGGACAATACTAAAGTCAAAGTACGACCATCTCGGACAGTTGTTATCTCATCCTGTGGTTATAAATTCCGTCCATTCTTTGACGAATGAAAGAGAGAACCGAAAGCATGTCGTACCGATTTCTTCAAGATGGACTCCGAGGTTGTGTAAATAAGTTTCCATTTACCATTCACCAACGGTGACTTCAGTGGCGCTTTGGACGGATTTAATTTCTCAAGTTCCTGGCAAATCTGCGCAGGAAATTTTGCGTCACTCCCTTGTTCAGTTCAACGTCTAGCTGGTGAAAAGCGAAATTTGAAAAAAAAAAAAAAAAGTGCTAGCAAACCCAGCTGAAACGAATGTAGACAAACGAATTTCCAATTCCATTCAGACTTGAATCGTGATTTGATTTATGCTTTCATATACAGGCACATTCTAGGCCTTGTAACATCGTCTTGGACTGGGACATGATAGGACGTGTGAATAAGTCATGGCACAAGGCAACGTGGGTGAGAGGAACAACAAGTGCGATTTCGAGCACGGTCAAACCAACTCTTGATAACCGGACAGGAGGGAATAAGTCACAAAGAGAGAAAGATTTTCATACGAGGTCCACTCGTGCGAGATCGTCGGGTGACGCATTGGCGCCTCGGTCCAGAGGCGCAATTGCATCCAAAAGCTCAATCTTCACTTTCTCGACGTCCTTCTTCTTCCCCCGTAAGAATGGAAAGAGAGCCGCGCTCGAAACAGAAAGAGCAACATTCCGGCCACCAATTGTCGGTTGCACGACCTTCAAGTCGCCCACGAACGATACAGCATTGGAAAAACTCGTCGATGCCTCATCTCCCTTCACCCTAAAATTCCGGGACGCACTAAACCCACCGGAAGCAGCAAGAGCACTCGGCCGAGAAGAAGAAGAAGAAGAAGAAGAAGTAGAACATAAAGGAAACCCCACTAATTGAACCGCAACAAACGCAGACATCTTCTCCAGTACAGCTCCACGCGACCAAGGTCTGTTCCAAAATGAAGACCACTTGCTCGCCTGCTCGTCCTCAACGATGAAATAATCTACCGACCCCAGTCACCAGCTGCAGTCCCAGCTCCGACTACCCTCCCTTCCTTGCTCGTCAGCCATGTCTCGGCGCCACAAATCGAAAGCATCGTCGATGCCCAGGTCGGGCGGGTCTCGTGGTCGCTCCCGAGTGCCACGTGCCGTCTCCCAATCTTACAATATTGGCCGCACTCCGAGTGCGACTGTCGGTTACTCCACCGGTCCACGACAGCGAACTAATCGTCGAACCACGTTCGTCGAAGAAACGCTCCACGTCGGAGAATTTATTGTGAATAAGTCCCCTTCTTGCGTCACATTATTGCACGGCTTCTAGAGATTGAGGAATTACGGTGGTATAATATAGAGTAGGAGTGATCGGATTTGTAGATTATGTCAATGAAAAAATATTGTAGATGAATAGCATATCTTTGTTACATGTGCTATCTAAATAGAAATTAGAGCTCCTTATAAAATTGTTATAAAAGTTTTGTATTCCTTATTACATTTTGTATTTAGTTTGTGATACTAGAGATGTTATTAGTATGTGGTTAAGCACTAGCTAGATCAACCCCTACTCTATACCATCCGGACTAAGGGCAAACATACATAGTTTGTGGATCATCGTCAAAAATTTTCGTGCTGGAACATCACCAAACTGTTATGGAGCTTATGGACTTTGATGTAGAGCAAGCTAGATTAGAACCAGTTCGCAAGCAAGCCAAGAATGCCTACACTACCTTGTACCTTTGTGCATTGAGTGACAAGGTCTCCATGAATTAGTTAGGTTTGCGTACGAGATTGCACGAGGTTTTGAATTGAACTTCGCAAGATCACCGTCCCCAAGGATTTCACTGTCATCGTAATTCAGGGTTTAATTATTCGCGCGCTCTCTTTTTCATCCAAATATTTGTGTTGGAACTTCACGAAACTGTCACATAACTTTCAAACTTTGATGCAGAGCAAGCTAGATTGAAAGCTGTCCGGTTCGCAAGCAAGCCAAGAATGCATGCACAACCTCATCAATGTGTGCGTTCTCTACAAGTTGAGCTTGTGTCTTAGCCCAAGAGCTTATGTGTGTCTAGAGGCTCGCATCACGGTCTCAAGCAGAAAGTGAGGTATGTAGGCCCGCGAAAGCACTTTTGATCCAAAATTTTTGACCCAAAGTGCGCAGCATCTTTCACCGAAAGACTTTTGTCCTTTGGCCCGAGTGACAAGATCTCCATGTACTTAAACAGGTTCACGTCCGAGATTGCACAAGATCTTCCACGGGGTTTAGAATTGAACTTCTTCTTGACTTGTTTCCGTCGAAGAGGATCTATTACACATACCATCTAGCTAGATTTTGTCCGTGTTCGACATGAGATTGAGAAAAAAGAGGAGATTGGAAATTTTAAAAGACTAACACTGTTACCCGACGCAAATTTGAGTAGAATGTCACTGTTGCTGTTGGCAAGAATTATCTTGTCGAGGAATATGATATATCAAAATCACTCCTTGTTGTTGATGAATCGGTCTTTGATTGTGTTTAGGTACATAAACTATCAAAGAGCATGATAAACTTAAGTTCAGAGTGAATGTATGTTTGAGTAGTAGATTCGGGTATCTCTTGTATGTTAGTCGCAGTCGATTGCTTTCTGCGTAGTGAAGAATTGTTTCATTAGACGATGAGCATTGGAGTTTGCATGTTGTCATCTCATACTCATACTCTTTCTATTTCTTCATGGTTAATATAATGAAGTTCAAATTATTTCAGTTTTTTTTTGCTTGATTTGATGAAGTTCAAAGTTGTTCAGTTTCTCTTTTGGTAGATCTAATGAAGTTCAAAGTATCTCTGTTTTTTTTTTATCAATTCGATGATAAGGGTTTACGTTGATGAATATGATGATTGTGAGTTTTTTGTTTAGGAGATAGCTTATGTTAGGTTTTAGAAAGAGAGTTGTATGTCGTGTGCAGATTCAATCTCCTTGGCCATGTTTACCCAATCAGAATTCGATCCTGATTCTTTTTCTTCAACAAAAAAGGTATACGTGTGTCACAATGGACGGTAGAATTCATGTTCAATCAACTTCTACATAAATATTCATGTACATGATTTGCAATGGATTTGGAAAATACATCATTCTCTTCTAGAGATAGCTTGTATTTCAAGTGAAAGTGTAGACATTTTTGTGGATGGTGAAGGCAGAAGAAATATAGAATTTGAAACAACCTCTTGGAAAAAAAGAACCAATGACAAACCAAGCTCAAAAATTGCTTGGATAAAAACGATAACTTACTGATGTGCTTTTGGATCATTTAACCATCCTTATCAAATTCCAGACACAATACCAAGGAAAGATCTACTGTCATCTATCCACCTCTCGGTAAAGATGACAGTAGTAGATCACGATCAAGAAAGATAAACTTTCATGATCATCTAAAAAGAGTATGTGTTTGTAACTTTATTGTTACATATTACAAATAAAAACATGATGTACTGTATTGTATAACTACAGTCATGAATTACCGACATAGGTAAGAGTATTTTGTTTGAATGTTTTTACAATCTGAACCGGTTGATGTATATGTTATCATTGTGCAATTTTTATTTCATGAATTAATAGTAACTTGATGTTTACATTTGTGTTGTAAGAATTATTGTAATGATAAACACAAAAGGTATCATGGAAAAATTGCAAAATTTGAGGTTTTTTTTTTAAGTACAAAGTGTGCATATGCTCCACAAATTACAAACAAGCTAACATGAAACATAAAGCAACTGTTATGATGAAGTTGGACTATTCCACAAGTTTTTGACATGCATTTAAAACAGCAGATTCAAATACAAGGTTCAAATTGTATTTTCAATGATACTGTCTCTCTTTCATGATCTATAAGAGTAGCTAAAGATGACACGATTCATTTGAAAGATTTGCACAATAGAAAAGCAAAGATGGCAAGAAAAACTTATATTTTTCATGGATACGACCAATCATCTGTGCAGATTTGAATTAATGCGCATCCTCGTTTTGTATACTACATCAACTTGTATATATTTGCAGATCCGTCTCAAAATTTCAGGTTGATTCTTCACTCCAAATGGCAATTGGATATGATGATTCATCACTCTCAAAATCAAATTCTTGCATTGGGGATCACGTTTGCAACAACCAAATATGATGTAAGTTTTGTTTGAGTTGTATTTTGAGTTGTATATTTTATTTATATGACATTGTGTTGTGGAACATATTTTTTTATTGTTCTAGTGTTAATTTTCAGTGCTTCAATTGGATTGGACTCCATTAGATCAGCGTCATTTTGTGATGCGTAGATTGCACACTGATCACTTTGCTTTTTGCCATTTCAGTTCAAATTTATCTTGTGAGTGTATGTTTTATGTGAGGTATGTGCCAAATATTCTCCTCCACATCTAATATTTGTCTTTTTATTGCTTTTCTATGAGTAGTGGTCTAGTAGATCTGCTCTTGTACATCAAAAGTCAATTTTGTACATATCATACAACAGAAATAGTTATTGTCCTTGTTCCAATTTTCTTTGTTGTCCAAACCTCCAAGTGCTTATACTTTTTTCTCTTGTTCCGAGTAGAACATTTTATAATTTCATTGTAGTGAATATACCATCAATTATTTGATTATAATGATTTATGTATAAATCAAATGCCAATATGTTTACTGTATATTGATGATCGTTACACTTAGAATATTATATAGATATTTTCTATTAGTATTTACATATTAAAATCTGATTCACGTTTTATATGTTTGCAGTACATGGAAGGAAAATTTGATCCAAAAAGTGAAAAATCAAATGCTTATATTGGAAATGTCCTATGTTCTTGGAGAAGTGATGTATGTTGAGAGTGAAATTTTGATGTGGGAAAGAATTCCAAATCAAATTTTTTCCAAAAACTAAGTTTCTGAATTACTTCAAACAAGAATGGATTGGAAGAATATGTACCGTATTTTTATTGTATTTCTATTCTATTGTTCTCGGGATTGTTCTTGCTTGCAGTGTAAGTAAACGCCCTTTCATTATAGTTGATAGATCCATGAAAAGACTTGTTTTAGCCCATCCCATTCAATACAATCACTAAACTTATATTACTGAAAGAAGTATTGAATTGTATTCAAAACCATATACATGTATTCGGTGTATCACGTGAAGTAAAAGTCTACTGTTATTCTACAATTGTAGCATTGTCTTCAAGTCTTTAAGGTTTGGAAGTTGCGTGCTATGAACACTATGGAAAAACAATTTTGGACATGATTTTATCCTTATGAAAGCAAAGATATATGGTTGTAGTTCACTTGTGGTTAGTTAGTCCTTTATCTCAACCATCAATAGATCACATTAGTAGCATCCAACCTATAGTAGTTCTCAAAGGAAGTATCAACAACCTGGTAGTTTATTTACATGGATGATTTCCATAGCAATGATGATATCTTACCGATGTCTCCCCATCACATTTGTTAATTATCTCTATGAATTGGTAGTATAAAAAGTGGTTCGCTTACATTCACTAGGAAATAAAATGAGTCTTGCAATATTGCGGATGTGTCCTTTACTGATGCATCATCATTTAATCACGATACAAAGAACTTTAAAAGAAAGCGGCGACTACGACATTACATACGGCTGATTCACTTGTATTTCCTTGAAACACAATAATTCCACACAATTAGTTTGATGATTTTGAAACAATATGCGTCAAATATTCACTTGTTTCACAAACTTATTTCTACAAAGTCTTATATTTACGTGTGAATGCTACTTTCATAAGTTATATTTTTAACTAAAATATTTAAACATTTTGTTTTTATGTTGTCTTCACAGACAAATGGTTGATGATTTGTCAAATTTCTGATCACGCAAACCAAATAACAAATGATGTAACAAAAGCTTGACATCTGACCATGAAAGAATAATTCAATCAATGATAGGTGGTTTAAAAGCTTGTCGTTTGGCCAGATTATTAAAGAAGTTGCTATATCCGGTGTATGTACAACAAAAAGATAAATGAAATATGCTTAAGTGAAATTTGTATGATTTTGCATTTGTATTCATTCATTTTTGCTTGCAATATATAAGCTATGATTATGCATAACTTGTGTTTTAATTATAAATAATGATATGTTATATATGTTGTATCCACGTTGCAAATTCCTTAAAGTCAAATTTTGTTGAATTAATATGTCCAAAATCTAAAACTAAGTACATTGTATGAGATTGTTATTCCATGATGTCTTCATGTGATTGTTCGTGGGTTGTGAAAACAAATATGTACAAACACTAATGCAAGGCTTTGATGTGCAAAGAGCACCAAGGAGTATCAATCATTCAAAAACATGGAACATGGATAATATCTCAATATGATTTTTAATAGGAATGTAGAGTTGTTAAGAGATAATATTCATTTGTTAGTGAAGTATGATGCAGAATTGCAAGCGTTCCACATCCTGTTCTACACGGTCATTGCTCTGCTCCGCGCCTACTTTTTCCTTCGATAACAGTCGTTATAGAGAGTTATATTTGAATCAAGATGAACAAGATTTCATGATAAAATCAAGGTTTAATGAGAGAAATGTTTGTGTTGAGAAATCAAGAGAAGCTTGGATGCAAATAGAAAAAATGACATCACATACACACAACACACTAGCTTTGATGAACATGTCTTTGTATGACTTGAGAGCAATATCAACTAGAATCAGGAAAGTACATAATCACAACAACCAACATGTTTATCAAGCCAAATGACCTGACATTGGAAAGAAGTCCGAGAATTGTTGACAAGTATCATGATACAAAAAGAAGCAATTCAATTGTGAAGAACTATATGAAGAAAAAAGCCGTCTAATCTAAACAAGAAATTCTTTGGTAAGTGATTATAACATGCATTGAATTCGAATTCTTATAGTATTTAAATTCATTCTTATTTTCATTGTGACTGATATGTTATCACTTGTGAAAACTTACAGGATTTGAACTTGCCTCTTCAAGATGTTTACAATGATAGTAGTAGCTATCCAAATGTTATCAATGATAGTTTAGCTTTGCCAGATATTATGTCAAAGTTCAGAAAGGTCATGAGTGATAACAAAGTTATTCTTGATGTAATTTTAGAAGTTCAAGGAGAAAAAAGAGAGACAATTAGGGAGTACTTGTTCAAACATATCACTAAATTGTGTGAAAAACGCAAAAGTAAAAAACCACAAACTGATATGAATAGTATCTCTTTGCCTTCAACTAGATTTTCCATGCCCAAAAGTTTATGTAGAGAGCTTTTTGCCGGCACAAATACAATTAATCTAAATGATGATTCGGTAGTGTAAATTGATTCAAAATCAAGAGATAAGTTTCATTCATTTTTGTTATTGTTTGTCGGGTTGTGCGATGTATATTTGCCAAAGACTACCTAGTAGGTACCTTACAAGCAAGAAAATCAAGTTATCAGTCGGGAAGTTCAAAACTTCATTTTGTTGTTGTTTCTATATCTAGAAGTTTATAATTTTGAATTCTATAAAGATACTGTACGATCGGTTCAGGGCCGGATACCTGCGGAATACAAAATATACTAGCACAACACAATGTATGTATGACTCGTTGGCTCCAATCCAACATTTGTCGATGAAAAAGAAGGATACAACGAGATTTACCGAGGTTTGGACCAAAAAGTACTACTTACTTTTTGGAGAATGTTTCAACTAACAAATAAAATCCGGGATTACCAAGATTACAAGTCCCCCCAATTTTCTATTCTCTCTCAAGGATTTTTTCTCTCGGCTTACTTTCTCGTCTCTCATACGACTCTCGGCAGCACTAGCCCGATTCAACCACTCTCATCTCCGCTGCTCTGCTCTTACTATCTACCAGCTAACTGTATGATCGTTTGTCTATCTATTTGACGATCTCTTGGCTTGTGAGTAAGAGCGGTGGCCAATCTAATCCAATCCGTAGATGAAGAGGTTGCAAGCGGTGGAACACGGATTTTGATCCTGCCGAGAACCCACCCTCGGCTGCTAAACCTTGAAAAGTCACAGAAAGGCACCGACTCAGATACATTCATGTACCTCCTCCGTTCAGACTAAAAATGGGCTAATTAAGATCACGTAACAACGCAATTTGTCGCCTGCGATCCCACTGCGGCCGTCTGGACCACAAACTTAAAGCCACGTTCACAGATACATTCATTCATGAATTGTGGGCCTGGTGTGTATGTACTGAGGATGAAGGAAAAACAAAATTTATATATACGGCAAGGTTGGAATCCTAGCAATTTCTATTATGCGAGATAGCTTCATTGCGGGACTAAAGGGTGAATAATATGATTTTTGACATGTGCTTCACATAGACTAACCATGTGTCCAATTTGAATGGAGGGTGCATTGACTAGAGGTTAAGCGTTGGTCGGGTGAACTCTTCATACGACGGTGACAAAAGAAAGATCGTCACGATGGTCATTGTATGCCGTCAACCCACGAGCATATGATTGGGGTTGTTCTATCCTATAGTCTATCTAGGAGAGTTCTTCATTAGTTGTGAAAAAATTATGTGTACTTTGTCTTTTAGCCTTTTGATCCTTGAGTTCCCTTTGGTCTATTTACCATTTCGAAGGCTTTGCCAACACGACGACTGGATAATGAATGACATTCCTTGGAGTAAAAGTAGACGAAACATCGTGATGACGATTTGCGGCCGAAGAATTTGATCACGGATGCAAATGAATTTTTCCCCACTCTTGCTTAAGCTGCGAGAATGAGAATTACTTTGTGTTAATTTATCCCAATAGAGAAGTACATGAACTCTTTTCAATTGCATCTAGATTGTACATTCTTGCCAATATTATTTTATTGATAGTTTTATATATATGGTTTTGTTTATGGTTTCTATAATCCAACTTTACACTATATTTTCAGCAATGCTTCTACAACCTTAAGTCCATTGGTGTCATCACGTTGAATGCTAGTGGAGAGGTATTTATATCACTTCGAGCAACAACTTACATAAGCATTCTCTGACTCCAATCGCATGTTCTCAGCTAGATCATTTTGGAATTGAACAACTACATCATCCAATCATAAGTATAAAATTAGGAAAGAGAGCAACATTACCTGAATAGTCAAAATATTATGTGTGAACAAAAGTGAAATTAAAGAAAAGAGCAACAAGGTAAACATATACATTGTGGTCAGTTTTGAACTTTAATTAGTGCTAGTTGGATATTCATGTAATCAAACCGCGTGCTATTAGTGATGTGGTCAGTTTTCAACTTTAATTAGTGCTAGTTGGATATTCATGTAATCAAACCGCATGCTATTAGTGATGTCATTGACATGAACTATTCGATGGACAGTGTTTGTGAAAATATATCTATATTGTTTGATTTGTGAGGAGTATTATACATGTAAGCAAAAGTAAGAAAAAACATGTAAGCAATATTTCAATTCTAAGTCACACTTGAATATATCTTGCTCATGTAATGATGATGTGTATGACACTGCTACAAGCACGCTGTTTGAATATGTGGAGATCATACTTGAAAAAAACAAAACACCCAATATTTCTAGATATTTCACTTCTAATCAACTTCCTTTTGCCTTGTTATATTTGTCTACATTAGAAAAATAGAGTGATATAAGAGTTGTCTAGACGTTTTTCTGACTTTGTTCTTCATTGCTCATTTGAGTATTTCGCAAAGTCAAAGATGTGTATATTTGTAATTATAAGCTATAAGGTAATAGAAGTGTCAAATTTGGGAAATCGCACCAAATGCTTTTGGTTCTACACATAACATTTATAAGTATTTCATGAATAATCAACTTCTTTTTTTCCTTGTTCTATTTTTTTAACTGTAAAAAATTTTAGTAATAGAAGATTTTTTTTTGGCCTTTGTTCTTCATTGTTCATTTTAATTTGAGTATTTTGAAAAATAGTAGATGTATATATATAATTAGTTACAACTAGAAGACAATAAAAAGTGTTAAGATTGAGAAACCAGACAAAATATATTGGTTATATATGAAACTCAATAATACACATAGACCTTGACGTGAATGTATCTGTACCAAGTTTCAAATTACAATTTCCGTATCTTGAATATGAAACTTAATAATTCCATGATAGCATATCAAAACAATGATTATTTATAAGAAATGAACCATTCGAAGAACGTAATCTACTTACAGAAAATTCTTCTTAAAACCACACGAGGATCCACTGTTAGAGTAAGGTCGTCGATGCGTAGTACATCACCGGTCAATGCAGCCAGAGTCAGAATCCTCACATTCAGATTGCATTCCTGAAATATAGAACTTATTTCTGATATTATGCAAATCACGAGAATCCAGTCCCAACACTTTTGACACTATGTACTAAAGTGTGAAGCTCGTAAGATGTTACTTGAGGTTTTCCGTGTCTAATTAGTGAGGATTCCAGACTAATTTGCCTCGATGGTTCACGAGACTTCTTCGGTCCACATCGATACAGTAGATTTCTCCAGGCTTCTGAGAAAGAGGAGAGGCAAGGGAAGCTGAATTCCTTCCGATCTTCGTTTTGGGGTGGGGGGAGGGAGACAGATGATGAGGATGGAAATGACAGAGAATGAGGTGGAGGAGAAGCAGGATGAGATGAATGTTGTGTCACAGGAGCCCAGGACGTGCGGAATCTTGATCTCTATAATTTCTCGGGCGCAGGCTTGCGTGTATGACGCGGCCGAGTTCTTCGTGGCATGGCAAGGAGTTTTGACCATTGCGTTCTGCGGCATTCCGAATTCCATTCTACAGGCAACAATCTTAAAATCTTCATTCATCTTGATACTTTTTCTCGGTAGGGTGTGGACGTTTACGGTCGAGATTGTCGCTAGAGTCACCTGGCGAAGTTTTGTCTTTGTTGTCTGTAATCCGAATCGAAGCTGGCTCGAATCCTTGACAATTTTCATGATCAGCATCCAACAATTCTTCGAGGCTTTTGGGGATTATAATCTCCCTTCAACGCCTTTGTGAATTTTTGGAGACCTGGATTATCGCAGTAGCACGTAGGACACAAATTGATGATAGATACAGAGCGCTTACGATTTCTTGATTCGCTTGTATAAGCTGGAACATGAGTGCCGGGTAAAAGTGAAGTGCCTTTCGCCTGGATTGGATGCGTGGATATCTGAAGATTCACTAATGGGTTCAGAAATTGTCCACGTTCTTTCTTTTGTTGGTGTGCTCAGATCAAACGAGATGTGGACCAGGAGCTGCAGGGAGTGGTCAGGGAAAACCCCGGGTCCAAGTGGCCGAAGACCAGCGTAGCTTGCTTGCGCGATGACAAAGTTCTCACCCTCGAGCAGCTATCAAAGCTCCGAAGAATTTGCAGGTTTTCTTCTCCGTCGAAAGTTTCTGTCACTGGTCCGACTCATCCCGTTCTGGGTTCACAGACAGATTCACGTTATGAGTCTTTGTTCCTCCTTGATGCTCCTCGAACCCAATGCTTTCGTCAAAGCTTACACGATCTCTGGACATCTCACCGGGAAGTTGCGAGTCTCACTCTGGGTAGTCGAGGGTTGTCGGATGTGGTGCAGATGTCGAACACTTTCAGCAGAAGAGAGAGAGCACTTTGCTTGTAATTCTTGCCCAGGCAAATTTTGATCCTTTTATCGTGCTCGAAACATTGCAGTGAGGAAAGTCCTGCCTTAGCAGCTTCCACTCCACCTGTAATTGTGGACAATCTGTCCGTCGTTCTTTATGAGAATTGTTGCCTTGAGAAGATCATTCTGGAGGCAACTACCCCTCTAAGACTCCCTGTTGAGACATCGAAGCCCACGTCTGAAGAGAAGGCGCATGTTCGAGGAGTTATGGATGAGTTCGCTGCGGAAAATCTTGAGGTTTATCATGTGTTCACCTCCAAATTTGGTAAGTCAAAGCCGAGAAAACATTACATTAGTGTTTGTGTGTGTAAGGAAGTGATTAAGTTTTCAGTTATTTATCTATTTCCTGTCAGTGAACATACTGATTCACTTTCACTTTCTGAGTTCACGGTAGCCTCTGGATATCTATTTAGATTCCATAAAATGCATTGAATTTTACGTCATCACTTCATCGTTACCTATTTACATGTCTCTTTCCAGTTACTTAGTTCGTTCTCCTCACTTTCATATTTGCTTCATTGTCATCTGCACTATTCTTCCACTTGCTCTCAAGTACGGTGAATCATTATCGGACTGGATTGCATGACAGATCTTTCCTTCAGGCTGCAGTAGGTTACAGTGTGTCCATTTCACATGTGAATTGGATTTGTTTTCATTTTTGCTAATCTACATGTCAGAATACATGCTATTCTGAGATGGCAGACTTTTTATTTTCAGTCACCATCCCACGTCCCACCTCTCGAGAACTTGTGCTCAATCTTGATGGGCAATATTCTGTTATCAAAGTAAAGTCAATGTACGCACATGCATCTGAATTGCCTGGTGATGTCATGAATATTGTGTGTGGCTTCCAGGTAACCGCTCCGCTCATTATAGGAATTCCAAGGCTGGGGCTACTCTAGTCCATTTTCTCAAGACTGTGCCAGCAGCACTGGCCAGATTCAGACAGCGGGTTGATGAGGATTTACCTGGAATGTACGATTGGTTTTCAGACTCTTCTCTCCACATAACCATTCGAGCTTTATAGTAAACAATGTCAAGATCAGGGCTAACATCCGTTCACTAACATACGTACAAGATGAAGACTGCACATCACCTCAGGCGACGGTTACAGGTTTCATGAGATTTGCAATATCTCTTCAGATCTTTCTCTTCAGGGCTGAACAGCTAAGTCTTTCCAATTTCAAGGGACATATGTCATTGTTTTTCTACGGCGATGCGGCTCAAAGACTATGACCTATATATATGGAAAAGGTCAGAAGCTTACCCACATACATTTTGCACTTATAAAGGCTGATTTTCATCAGTGAGGCCATATATCTTCCAGATGTTTTCGTTTATCTGTTAACCGTAGGAGACCTCAAAAATGTGAAGCTTTACCATCAGAACTTTTAACTCAATGCACAGGTGAAGATTGAGTACAGGACGTAATTAGTTTCTTGGAACTCAATTCTGGTATTCTAGGATATATGACAACTTGAGGACAGGCTGGAGATTTATGTCGAACAAATTTCGTGAGCCGGACAAGATGACCGGAAATCTGATAGTTTGACTGAGAATTATATTTACAACTGCAGTATATGATTGACATAATTTTTGCCTCCTGCAGAGGCCATCTGCTGATGTATCGAACGGGTTCTTGATCATACCATGAGGAGAACTAAACCGCATGAGCATTTTTTTACCTTTTTTTGAAAAAAATTGAATTTCTTCTTTCAGAATGACTGCTAATAGAATCATGTACGCTATACCTGTCTTTAGAACTGATGTTTCTTTCCTGCGAAAAGGCATTGACCTGTACAATGGACAAGCTGTTTTACTTGCATGTACAAACTGTTACTCGTGCCGAGAAGCTTCCGCCATGTGGATGTAATCTGCTTCAACTCTGTCGTGGGCGATGTCGTCTTATAGTCGTATGAGAAGTTTTTCAAGGAAATATTCCACTGACTTTGTAACAAGTTGCAATTCTTTCTATGGCTATCAGATATGCAGCAGTGCGATAGTTGCAACCCTGCATTCGACATGATTTGAGGACCCAACGAAACGTCAGTGGGTCTCATTCAGCACTAGCTTCTATTTGGTATGTAAGAGCGAGATCTAGGAAGAGGTGGGCTGTTACTTCTTCTGATGAATCCACTTGGAACTAAGTCGAAATACCCAAATGAAGTCCCGAAGGCTTTTCTTAATACGTCTCAGAACTCAGAACATCCTACACGAACATATCTACTATTTCCAAGAATCCAGTGTTACGCACCTTTATTGGCTTGCGAACGTTGACAACAATTGGTATAATTGTTAAGTCGTGTTCTACAGAGTAAAGGTGGATTGAATGGTGTTGTCCCAAAATAAATATGGGGTTCAAATCCTGGAGAATGTTTAGAAAGTGGTATGTTTACCTCGAATGCCTTGTGCTTAATATCTCACGTCCACGGAATAAGAACATTACCTTAATCTGGGCTGTGCGTCTAACGTTGTCCCAACTGACCAGCATAGTTTCTTCTAGGCCCGAGTACACAAAATCAACCTCTGTGTTCCTGCAGCAATATCCCAGATACAAGACTGATTCAGAACCTAACTGTAGTTAGCAGGTCGATCAAAGTACCGTTGTTTTTGAGTTAAGGTGTTACCCTTTCACAATCTGTCTGCGAAGATCCTCTGAGAGTTTGGTTCCATTGCCAAACTGGTTCTCAAGCGCATCAATCAAGGCCTGTGCGACAGTCCAAATCCAGTTGAAATCGTCAAGTAAAGTTTGTCCCAACTGGGAGGATCGGTAAAAGAGATGACACAAGTCCGTTGTAGTGGATGGAGGTATGAAGCTACCTTCTTACCACTCTCCTCCATCCTCCTACTCATTCGTCCAAAATGCATGTGGTTCAGATTCTTGAGCCACTCGAAGTAGGAAACAGTAACGCCGCCCTGCGAAGAGAAGCGACCCATTTCCCGCTTGATTATGTGCTGAACAACAGACCAGACCAACTTCTTACCACCTCACGGTTAACGTAGTTCAGAAGAATTTCGCCTTTACTGCACGACTGTAGCATTCAAGGATCTCACCGTCAGCAGTTAATGCTGAATGATCATAATCTTGGAAATACTGATGTGAAACTTACAGCATTTAATAACAAATCTGGCAGAATAACAATTCCTCTCTTCTCCAAAATGACTTCAGCTCGGGGTGTCACAGGACCATTAGCAGCCTCAGCAATCACTTTTGCCTGCCCAACGCAAAGCATATTTAGCTCAGCATAAGGTGGCCTTGACAGCTGGCAAGCAGATCCATGAAGTCATGGTCAAAAGACGATAACGTAAGTAAGTTCGATCTCTCAAGTGCATGGTTTTTTAAAACTAAGATGAACCAATCAAAACGATCGTCTTTGTGTGCGTACCTTAATTCTATGCGCGTTTCGAGAGTGGATCTGAGACTCAAGAGCTGCAGGTATAAGGACATCGCATTCAAGCTCCAGAATCTCTCCAGAGTCCCTTCGCTGCGATCGGAGACATCCAGATCCAGACAGGCCCGCAGCTCAGTGTCGCAACTCCGCATACCAAGAAAGTCAGCAAATGAAGTGTTTTGGAAATTGAAGGAATTTGGTTGGTTCTGAGCGCACCGTCGTAGTTCCGGGAAATCCAAGAATAGATTTTTTAGTTGCCTGATAGGCTTTAATTGCAGTAATATCTAGACCTTCTCCTGTCTCGTCAACAATCCCTCCATCGTACTCAGCAACAGCTATGATCTTACCTCCAGCAGCTGCTAATTTCTGTGGTGAATAGACAAAGGTGAATCACGAAAATTCATTTGAATGGCAGCAGCTTGCAATATCTTGAAAATATGTAGAAACTCAGTTAGGAAACCATGTCCAGTAAAAAAAACTTCATGCGGAAACAGCCTACACGACCCACATATAAAGAAGAAACGGGTAAGACCATTAGGTGTAGTAGGTTTCATGGAATGAGTATAGGTCAAGGCATTTCGAACTCGCACGAACATCTCGAGTAGGAGTGAGACTAAGTTCGGCTTTTTCTTAAAAAAACACAAACCCAACTCAGATCTGAGTTGTGCAGATCTCTAAGGCATTGGATATTTCCGACTTAAGGTGGAGAACAATTGGAACTCCCGAGTTTTCTCTTGATGCCATATTGAATGGAAAATTCAAAGTTAAGCCCAAATTAATTAAATTCTGGAACAAATCTGGGTGGAAAAGAGGAAATTAGGGCCATAGTTGATATAGACTCGGAAGCGATAAATTGAAACCCGTAGGAGAAAGAGAACAGTGAGTAGGCAAATCATTAAACTACCTTCTCCCTGTCCAGAATATACCTCAACCGCTCAAGAGATTGCTTCAAGACCGATGGTTTTCAAGCAATATTCTCATGGGTTCCTCGCACAGGCACAAGGAGTTCCAGTACTAATCAAGAGTCGTCCCTCTTAACTACAAGAAGACCAAGAGCAAGGAGCGCGCTATACTTCCACGCCTTTGTGTAATTGAAGACGAAACAACTGCCCTCCATCTCGTAACATGAACTTCCTTAAAAATAAGAGAATATTTATTTGATATTGCTTAAGTCTAATTAACTAAAAAATACTTTTACGGTGGAACAAAAAAGTACTCTTTACCCCTAGTTTCTGATCCTTAACTCAAAGGCCAAACCTGGTGCTTTTAAGTCGACATTTTTGGGAAATACTTAACGTGGATGACCTAGTGACGGTTTCCTTGGTTGACACCTGGTAGCTTTTAACGAACTTCATTTTCAGGGAGAATTCAAACTATAATGATTTCCTTCAAGCTCAAAAAGCCCTCACTCCTCCGCTTCATCTTCATCCCATTATATTTTTTTATATGACAATTTATTTTAAAATTGCAACGTTGTCTAGGGCAATCAGTTTTTTTAGAATTACAATCAAATACTGCATTACTGCATTCTCACTTGGACATCACTCAGTTTAAGGGAACAACGCAAAACTGAGTCCAGCTTACATCGGCAGTATGTCGACCAACATTTCCAAACCCTTGAACAATAAATGTCTTGCCTTTCACACCAGGGTTCATGTTTAGCTTTGAAACCAATTCCTGGGGGCCAAGAAACAAGTCAGAATAGTTCATCAGGGTTCATGTTAAGCTTTGAAACCAATTCCTGCGGCCCAAGAAACAAGTCAGAATAGTTCATCTTACAATGAGCAGTCTGTACGTTGCACCGAAGTAATATCCACAACCTACATCAATCAACTAGATGAAACCAGGGTTGCTCGAACCTTGTCGTTCAAAAATTCTCTCACGCAAAAGAAAACACCCAGTCCAGTTGCTTCTTGCCTACCATCAATTCCACCCTGAAAAGTGCAGAGGCTTTATCAAACTCTTCCTTAAATCATATTCAAAAGGTTTTCTAGACAATTTTCGTGAAAGGTCATGTATTCTTTGTGCGCAATCGCCGAATTGTCTGCTTACTCACAAACTGATTTCAATTTTTTTGAGTTTTTTACCATCTAAATATCTTGTTCAGGTAGGCATTTCCATACACTACCTCTTCAAGAGGTTTCCCAGTTACACAGGCAGAACCGTTGATGTCTGTAGGGCGCAAATGTTCGAAGGTGTCCTGTAATAATTAAAATCAATTGGTACAACAGACTCACCTCATCAGAAATGAAAATGGTTCTTTTATTTAAGTATAAGTCATCAACGTAGCTGAATAGAAATGGAAGAGGTTTATGTTCATGGTCTGGCATATGAACTTATTACTATCTAACAAGACAATTAAATATTTAACTGCTAGAATGGGAGGACAATTTTTCATTCAGACAGTTTTGTAGAAACTCTCCCCCCTGTACGCGCACACCTCTTGCGAAATGTTTTTTGAAAATGACTATGTAGAAGACTGCAATTGGATCGGATGATTCATCACCTTAATCCAGGCCATCTCTTGAGGACCTGTTCCATAATCTGGTGCCGGTACATCCTAGATCATGGACGGCCGATTTATGTTGGTTAGTTTTGTATGGTCGTAAAAGTCTATGTCTAGTCTTCTACTATGACTCTACTCATGAGACAGTAATATGCAAGAAATGCTGAGTTGCCGCTGCGTTTTATATCGTTCATTATAAAACTTAGTAAAGACAAATACATAGGTGCCAGTGAGGTAAAAAATTACCAGAGCAGGACCAATAAAGTTCTTTTTAACAAGCTCGCTGGTATATCTTCTGATAATTGTCTCTTTCTCAGTTGAAGTATACTTGTTTGGATCTGCACATGTGTGCTCATTTTCATCTTGTGAGTTTGCAGCATACATACTGGGTAAAGTTCAGAGAGTGTTTTCGTGATGTCGTTTCTTAATCCTTTTACTCTCTAGCCTTGATGCCATTACCTATCTTGATTCCACCTTTAGCACCTCCAAAAGGTACATCGACCACAGCACACTTGAATGTCATTAAGGCAGCTAAAGCCATAGTTTCATTGGCATCAACATTTGGCGCCATGCGAATTCCGCCTTTGACTGTTGTAAAAACGAAACAAATATTAGATCTCAAGCCGATTCTTAGAAGTGGTAATTTACTCGTTGAGATTAAAACCGCCAGCGAAGATAAATAAGTTTGTAACTTCAGAGTTTGATACTTTCGATTTGTACTTCACATCAACATGGCATGGCAACTATGGGTGTCTAGCTCGCACCTGGTAAACGATGATGCGAGTGTTGCGCCCTATAAGCCTCAATAAGTTCGACGGTACCATTTCCGCACTTGAGTGGAAACTGCAATCTCATTACATTATTACATGCCTGACCCCCATCTCGAAAACAAAAAATTGTGTTAGTTCGTTCGGTGGTTGATGGAATCATTTATCTGAAATAGCAAGACATCTGTTCTTACTAGTCCTGAATACTATATCCTACTGTCGTGAGTATGACGTCTAATGACTAGTGCTGAAACTGTTCATGAATATTTTGAAACCTTTATTTGTGCGAGGATATCGGGAGTCGATTGTGCATAGGCGGCAGCCCTGTCGAAATATATATCTACGGATTCCAAAAAATTCGGATCGCCTGCAAAAGTCAAAAGTAAGCTTAAAGAGGAAGGAAATTACAACAGACACGTAGGGCATTCATGATCCGGGAACAATGTCTCTTGCCTAGTTTTTGTCTATGAAACTTCTGAACAAAGACCTCAGCAACAATTCAATGTCTGATCACCAGAAAATTATTCTTTCGCGTACACAACTTACCCCTGCTAAAGAAATTACTACAAACTTGAATTTCAGCAAGAAAGGGTGATTAGTAAACGAAACGAAGAGCAAGAAAGCGAAGGTGATGAGTAAACGAAACGAGCTACCGCAGGGTTTAAAAGTGGCACACCATGAGGAGCTGCTCCGTGATTCTCCACTGAGTCTTTAGTTTCAACGATTTGACCAAGAGCTTGACGAACCGTTCCACCGACAGTAGCTGCAGTGCCAAATTGCCTTCGGCAGATGGTTGGGTGGTGGAGTTGATCCACATTTTGAATTAGTTTCGATAAACAGTTGAACTGATTGATTCTCATCGTAGTGCTCGATATCGTTGCTGCCTTCGTCAACAAACAGGCAGTTAACCTGTCAAGGCATTTCATAACAAAACATTGAAATTAATTCCTACTACCTTTAGCCCATCGAGAATTAACATTAACGTTAACAGTCCCTACAATTAAAATTTCAATCCTGCAGATTGTTCAAGAACTATTATGACAACTGTATGCTTCATTGATTCCTTTAAATAGCTGCCGTAGCGCTCAAACAACCGTATTGCAAATGTGCAGCTCGATACACATCGTGACATCTTGTCATTTGTGCTCCATTTCATACGTGAAGAGATGTGGAGCGTCCATCAAATTGTGGAACTCCGAACGTACAACCTACCACGTGCCACTGTCTGCAAGTGACATCAAAACATCTGAATTCCCAAACGATCACGTTTTGGTTGACTTCTGGAAGAATCAAATCAATCTAGTGGAAGTCCAAACGGACAATCTATCACGTAACACTGGCTGTAGATCAGGAGTTTGTAAACCGCCACGAGTATCAAGGCTAATGCAAGATTCAACTCGAAATAGAGCAAGAAGATATTCAAGATGTAGCTATCGCCGGCATTCACGAGGTGTGGTGTTTCTAATGAAAGGAGGAAGGCCCAACTGACAGTCTATCAAATGCCAGTGGCTGCAGGTCACTCAAAAACTCAAATTCTTAAATCCAACACAATCACCTGCGCTAATGCAAGAATCGCAACGAATCGAATCGAATCGAAACGAAATGTAATCAGTTAAATGTCCAAATGTAGCTGTGTTCATCGACTTCCTACCACACGAAATATATGTACCTCAGAGGACCATAACAAATTCCTCACCGCCGCTCCTTCCAGACTCGCATCGCATCGCTCGGCCTCATCGACTGCACGCACTGGATTTTGCAGACACATGTCCGAGCGGCTCATCACTGTGACGCGACAACCAGCAGAACTTCGAACGCCCAGTTTTCTTGGACGGTATGTCAGGCGCCGGAGCGGATATTTCTCCAGCAACGGAAAGTGGACTGCGGAGTGGATTCAGCGTGCGGAGCATCATTCGTCATTCGGAGTGTGTTCCCTTTCCGTCGCCCTGCGTGCGGCTCGGACAATGATTCTGTCTGTCTCTCGTCCTGCCGCTCCGCGACTCCGTCCTCCGCGTGGTTGTCTCATCTGCCGACGTCTACTGCTCCTCCACGTGGCAGCTGCTTTCCTGCGTCTGAAGGAATGTCTAACAGAAGGAATGCTCTCCATGATCGTTCGTTGCAGGTGCCTTGACGACGATGCTGAGGTCGATCGTGATTCTCGGCATATATACATTATGTTGATTTCATGCTTTAAAATTTTTCATTTTTCTTTCTATGAAACTTAATAATTACGTGCCAACATTCATAGATAAGCATGTAACACCTGAAAATCTACGATACTTGCATACATATAAATAAAATTCTATCATGGATAATATTTAATCTCAAAATATGTGAGTTATATTTATCAAAAGTATAAATATGACTACAAGTAAATTTTAGTGTGAATTTTATAATATTGCAATGTTCTTCATATCTATTTCAAAACAAAAACGTGAAAATTGATAATTAAATTAAGCACATTGATTGCACTTTTATAGATTATATGATGATTGAATCAAAAATAACAACTGATTTGATACAAAATAAAATAAGCATAATTTTATTTCAATATGTAATTTTTGCATTATACAATGTATGTTGACATGATATTTGATCGTATTTAATAATTTATATCTTGCTATTATATATTTATAGCAGCAAATTATTCAAAAATAAAATTCAAAAACTTTTAGGTGTTGAATCATGAAATATATCAATCCGAACTTATTATATAATCTATTTTATTTCAAATAATATTGAGAATAGTCGTGGTATTATATTTTTTATTTAGCATTTTCTTTCTAGCATGAAGTCATAAATCAAGGTGCTTTGAAATACTAAAAACTATATTTTTATTTAAAAGAGGACCTTAACATCATCAAAATTCAGGACTATTTTGAACATCAAGATGAATCATAACCCAATGGTTTAAGAGAAAGTAAAGAAAGTAAGTCCCATTTTTTCCCGGTCACATGTCTAAGTGAAAATGATACATGTAGCTGATATGCAGTATATATATCTTTAATTTTGAATTGAATTCATTTAAAGTCTTGTTCATATAATAATACATTGAGAATGTGTAGATTCATTACTAATTTTGGTTATTTTGATTATAATAATCTAATATTAAAACTTAATATTAAAAAACAAGACTATACATGAAAATTTGATATCATCATTCAAATATATATATATTCATGCATGATTTTTACATTTAGACATTAAATTAAATACGATTGGATCAACAATGATGCATCTTTCACTAACATGCATCAAACGAAAAGCATGTATATGATGATATTGTATAACCGAAACTAATAAAGTTGATCTCCGATCATGTATTTTTAATATCATTCATGTGGTATATTCATAGTAATCATACTTTTTGTTTGCTTTGTGTGAAATAAATTTTTTTATGAATGTGTTAGTCAAAATTATAGCTTGATGTAACAAGTTATCATTTTACATTATGATTGAAATTTATGATTGACCAATGAAAAATAGATAATGAAATTGAAAATTAAAAATTAAAAACATGTTAGAACATGCACACAATACATCATCAAGATATTAAATAAAACACATTAAGTAAAACATAGAATGGAAGAGTCAGTCACACACTAAAGCATTAATTTCACTCAGGACACAAAACAATATTCACATAGTGTTAAAAGAAAAAATAGAATAAGCATGTAAGTTTGAAAGAATACATACAGACATACAACCATATAGGTAGTGTGCACTATCCAGAAGAAAAGTCCGGAGCTTGCAATGAAGCAATAACAACTGCTTAAACCATGGGATCGATAGGCTAATATTGAGTCACAGAGAACAACAACAGTTCATAACAAATCCATTCCAACAAAGAGCTCAAACATATTTGCAAGCAACCAGTTCAAAAACTTGAGAAATGTTGGCAATAGGATAGCCATGATGAGGCTAGCGCAAAAAATGTAAACTAGGAAATCCTTGTCCTTCTTATGGCGGTAGTGTCATAACAAGAGTCAAATTAGATGGAGATATGTGCGGTTCGCTGTGGCTGATATAGCGCATTTAGCACTTGCAATCTTGAAATGCCCAGACTATAATCAACCAAAAGCAGAACAACAACCCAATGCTACAGTCCGGATGCTCTTCTGAGAAATTCTCTGTTATGTTCATTGAAGACTAAAACTTCTGACAAATCCACACCAACTTGAGTTTGAGACACTGCTCCATCATGCAAGCTTATAATGCATGTAGGCAGGAATACCGTCAACGAGAGATAGTAAGATGAACTGAAGGAAGGAGGTTCTCGATCGGCCACAAATATTGCGCTTCGGCTCAAATCTCGATCAAAAACGTAGAAATAGAAATGTTAGTTACCGAAGCAAATGTATTTCAACTTCCAAATTTGAACAGATGCTGCAATCTGACTACGGGTCCGGCCATGGCTAGTATAGAGCTAACGACTTGAATTCAACTTCTCATCGGAGTTGGCTGACAGCGACCTGCAGTTTTGTTACATGTTGAAGAGATGGAATGTGGAAGTGACATAAGCTTACACGTCATCAACTCGGAAGCGTGGAAAGTCCAGTCTGTGATGTGCATTTGGTTTTGGAAGCAGGTCACAACATATGTATGATCCACAACTCTTGCCCTCCTGTCTCTACTCCACAGTCAGGAGTAGAGAGAGACTGAGGAGGCAGAAAATACAAACATGATGGAAGAGTGTATTTGCAAGTACCCCGAGTATTTGCAAATACTGTGAAAATCAGTTGTATAGTTTACATATGCTCTATGTTAGAAAAAAAAGAGATTAAGTTAAATGACACAAAAAACAAAGTAGATGATTTACCTGAGAAGATATATACATCATCGACAACCTTGGAATTTTGGAATGTGTCGAATAAATCTCCCATCTTCAAACCACAAAAAGAGAAAGTATCTAACAGATACATTTTACTTTTCACGTATCGTGAAAAGTAGAATGTATCGAACAGATGTCCAATCTTGAAACCCTACCTACAAGAAAAACGTATCGAAGAAGTGTCCCATCTTGACACTGTGAAAAAGAGAACGTGTCAAGTAGATCTCTAATCTTGAAACTCTACAAGGAGAATGTATCGAATAGGTGTCAAATCTTGACACCGTGAAAAAAGAACGTGTCGAGCACATCTCCAATCTTGAAACTTTAGAAAGATAACGTAATAAACATATGAAGAAATACACATGAGGTAAATTATTTTTTTTGAGATATTGATATATAAAACCCCTTAAATGTTACCTACGGTAGTAAGAAAGTTAGTACCGTATTCTCTTATAAGTATTATAGTAGTTTGAAATATCAATGTAATTAATACGTACAGGCATGCTGTATGCATTAAAGGGATTGAGTCATGTGCATGGGCCCTCGCTCTCTCTACTCTGAGTCCAGAAGATAGTGTTGGAATCTCAACAAAAATTCGCACATTGGACGTATCAAAAAATGTAAGCATGTGGAATAAAAAACTGTTAGAAAAGAACAGTTAAAAAAGTCTAGAGATGCGTCTATATTTGTTTATATATACGTGTATGCGTATAGAAAAATGCGAATAAGGCATGCTCTCGCCTCGGGTCATGCCTTTGAGGTTGTTACTCCAACTCTACTCGGAGCTTCGTCCGCATGAGCGTACGACCTGCCAACCGTTGGCTTCACAGGCTTCTCTTGCCGATCGCCGCATTTCTCCCACGCGCAAGGACAGACGAGGTAACGAAGTCTCGACTATACGGCGGTGCGGTGCGCCAGCCTCGCGCCACCGTCGATGACGGGATCGTGGGGCCAGACACGACAGGACCGGACCCGACCGGACGCCCGTAAAGCCGGCGGTCGTCCGGTCGGCCGGTCGGGCAGGCAGGCAGGTGCGCAAGGATTCGAGGAAGCAGGTTCCTGACACGAGAGTACAGATCTGTACTCTCGTGCTCGTCGCCCGGAGTCGGATTTCTTCGAGACCTGCCGGAGAGGACGAGATAAATCTCGGTGCGAATGGTGATCAGTGGAAATAATGATGCATAGGGTGCAGCTCGGGAGATTGCAGAGCAGGGCAGGTCAGGAATGATGGGGAAGCGAATGTGAGTTGTGGAGAAGGAGGAGGAGGAGGAGTTAGTGGAGGGCAGGGGGTCGAGGATGACGAGCTCGCAGGGTCGCTGGGAAATTAGCGTAGCGCAGGATGGAAGTGGGCGCTTCCGGACCGTGCAGGAAGCGATCGACGCAGTGCCTCTGAGCAATAATCGGAGAGTAGTGATCCGAATCGGCCCGGGAGTGTACAGTCAACCCATCTACGTGCCTAAGACGAAGAATTTGATCACTCTGACGGGAACCGATCCGAACCGAACCACGTTGAGCTGGCACAACACTGCCACCAGTATTCAGCACCACCAGGCATGTCTGTCTCTCTTCTCCCTTCCGTCTCACGTTCGTTGCATTCGTCGTGATCGAGTCTGTCGTGGGCAGGATTTTCTCAGCTGGATGTGAATTGTAATCGGCATTGTGCAGGCACCCAGTGTCATCGGAACTGGAACTTTTGCCTGCGGTTCTGTCATCGTGGAGGGCGAAGATTTTATCGCCGAAAACCTCGCATTCGAGAACGCCGCACCTCAGGCATGCACTGTGAATGACTTTCGTTCAAGATGTCAGATTTCTCCTTTGAGTCTATTCCAGCCTATCGTCCTGTGTCCCCGGTCCGAAATCTACGCTGCTATCGACGTACTGCAATCTGTCGTCTGTTGAGAACCCATCGCAATCATCTATTGATTATACATTACAGCGAGAAAGTAAAATGCAGGGAAAAGCGTTTCTGTCTCTGTCCCGACCTCGTTTCATCGCACGATGTTGTAGGAAACAAGCCAAGCCACCGAGTCTCACCTGTCAGGAGTTCATGCTTGACTGCTGTGGTGTATTTTATCGCCTCTTGTGACCTGAATTTAGATTCGCCGCTCCATGGACAGCTTGCTGATCCTTGTTGGATGAGGTATATTTATTTACAGCAGTTTGCGCTGTTCTGGTTGGTTCTCATCTGAGTGCTTTTTAATAATCACTCAGTAGGTGACTTCACATGCACAGTAGAGTATTCCATGTACATAATCATCTGCTCGATACGTATGTTTTGGTTTCGAGAACGCGTCAAGGGAAACCTTGGCCTGCACCTTCTTGACGTATAGTCAGGGGTGTATGTACTTTTTCTTCACAAGGTTATATGTTTTGAAGTTGAAGTTTATGAGGTTTGATCTGCTGCGCTGTGCAGGGCTCTGGCCAGGCGGTGGCAATTAGAGTAACTGCTGATCGCTGCTCTTTTTACTCCTGTCGCTTTCTTGGATGGCAGGTATGTCTACATCCCCATTCATTGAATTGGACAATTGGCCTGTTGCGTCATGAATGTGGGATGAAGTTGTATGAATCTGAACTGTTCCTTGACCTGAATTAAGCATGAAGTTTTACAAAAGACACAACTCAGGAATTCTCAACGAGGCCTCTCTCTGCAGTCTTGTGTACAAAAAGCATGCATGTGAGATTTTTCCTTACTGAACCAAGACAATGACTAGAGAATGCCTAAAACTGCCGAGTATTCTTACCGTACCAGGCGAACCATATATAGAGCGAGATGTCACAAGAATCGAGCACTGAAAACCTAAACTTATTATTCAGAATGGAGAAGCAGTGCCAACACACAAGCTCTACTCGGTTCTATTTGTTCTATATGGGAGAAAAAACCTGAAGTCTGCATCCGTGCCCATTATGTTTTGTCGTTCAATATCAGGAAATTTGTAATTTCAAAGAAGGAACATTGCCCGTGATGTCGTTATTGATGTAATCTTTTGGCAAAGATACTCCAGAGCCTGTGCTTGATCAAGACTCAAAAGAGTAACAAGTCCAATTTTTGTCCGGGAGCAGGATACAGCGTATCTCCATTACGGGAAGCAGTACTTCCGAGACTGCTACATCGAAGGTAGTGTTGACTTTATTTTTGGCAACGCCACCGTTCTCTTGGAGCACTGTCATATACATTGTAAGTCTCAAGGGTTCATAACTGCACAGCAACGGAAGAGTGCGGATGAATCGACTGGTTATGTTTTCCTCAGGTTTGTCCCTACATGATGAACTTCTATGCCTGCTTTTGACCCACCCACCTCCTGTACTTCACCCTCTTGTACAATATGCAGGGGAGAAATCTCTTATTATCAAAATGAATTGTTGTCGAATGTCCACCTCTTCAAAACGCGATGTGATGTCCAATCCCACTAGAGCCGGAGTACTGGGAAAGGCTGCCCAATGGTACTCTAGATTCGATGTATTGTTTTGTCCGAGTGAAAGGATTGGCTTCGTTTTTTTTGGGTGATAATTGTGAAAGTTTTAAGCACTGTCATGAATTTGCAACTTTTTGTTGGAGGCCGGAAGAAAATCGAGCCTGCTACCTTTAGCTTAAAGGCCAGGTATAGAGACCAGTATACTGATTCCATTGGATTGGTGGAGTGGGCTTAGCACCGACAGCATCTGATAGAACTCTGCAGAAGGCTGCCACCCGTACATACTAAAGCCACCCTAGATATCCTGGTCAGATAGCTGGGCCTGCGAACGTTAGGTAGATGATCGATGCCGTCAGCTGTTTCGTGAAGGCTTCACTCTTGGATACGAATCTGGTGCTCGATGTGTTTCGGAGAGCCAGGTACTGTTAAATGTTATGTTTTATCTGAACTATCAACTTCAGTTTTTCCCGGCGTTAAGAGCGACAGGGCAATCATGTATGAAGAAGTGAGAGTAGGTCGGTCTACACCAAGGATGTGGGGCAATCTCCAAATAGGGAACATATGACCAAACGGTTGTACTCATTATCTTTTCAAGTCACTAAGGAGCAGGAGCTGACGAACAGATAATCCGGTTTGCAGGTGTGTTATCACTGGAAATGGCGACAGTAAGTCATACATGCACTTGGGCAGGCCATGGGGGCCACACGCGAGAGTGGTGTTTGCCTACACCCATATGGACAGTTGCATACTTCCTTCAGGATGGAACAATTGGAACAATACCGCCAACGAGAAGACCGCTTCCTATTCCGAGTACAGGTACCACCGAACGTGTGCTCCCTGTAGCAAACCAAAACCATTTTGTCTGTTTGAGCCACGTCGCGAGGACTGACTGTGCCTTGCAGAGAATGTTGTAGATACAGTTTTGCACTGCTATCACTGAACAAGCATCGAGGTAGCTCAAGCGGGTGTTTGCTGAAAGTGGTAGAGGTGTTCCGACTCTCACACACACACTCTCCTCGTGCAGATGTTCAGGCCCTGGCAGTGATCTCAGAAAGCGTGTCCCTTGGTTCACGAGATTGTCCGATGTTGAAGCGTCCCAGTTTCTGACGACTCTTTTCATAGATCCACGACGCTCTTGGATACATGCCCGAGACCTGCATTCCACTTCGCCCAGCTTCCCTGTACCTCTATCAGCGTAGTCGAAGTCTACTGCAGCTCGGTCACAGAGCGCTTGAAGCTGGGAGTACAAGAAGCAGAGCTAGAAACTTGGTGTAGGCTCACTGCATTCCATGCAATGTCAATACAGGTCACACTTTCATCAAATGTCCAGGTAAATTCGCTCTACGCACGAAGAGAAGAAGATGGTGCCCCTGCTCGATCTGGGATGTCAATTGCCAGTCACTTTGTTTACTACAGGTCATTCACATTTATTTGCTGATGTCCTGCAACAAGAAACTCTTTGGAGGTGATGAAGTCTATGGTCAAATCTTGTGAAACAATTATGGTCCAAAATAGCTACCCTTCCACAGGCCAGATGGGAAAATATAGGAGGTATGATTGACAAGTTTGATATTCATTTTTGTAAACATCTTCAGTTCTTCAGAGGGGAAATCGCAAAATATTTGTCGATAAGTCATCAAGTCATGTGAATAAAGCATAAGAGCCAATCACAAATGTGCTTAATGTTTCTAAAAATGGAAATGGGTTTCACTAAATTCAAACTATTAAGATGTCGATTTTATAAATATTGTGTAAATGAGTTTATCTACTGAGAATAGAGCATATGAACAATTATATTGAGAAATATTCTATTCACAAATTGAGCAAACAGCACAATCTTGAAGATATTGGATATCTCTATATTCTCAATGAGCATATTTCACGATAAATTATGCTCTACATCTCAGTTAGCAATGATTGATATAAAACTATGTTGGACCTTATTTACTTTTATATGTTAAGAAGATTTTATTTTTTGTACTCGTGCAAAATAAACACGGATCATTGTTCTCGTTGCTTGATTTGCATTATCTTGCAGCCTTTGGCGAGAAGCAAGAAACGGCAGAGGCCGGAGACGTTTGTGCCCAACGAAGATTAGATCTCGATGTAGACAAAAATCCGTGTAATTAGAAAACGTTTAAAGCATGGACTGGCCAAGTCCCAACAGCCTGAATACTCTTGAAGCAAGAACGTTAAACATATGACAAAGAATGGTGAGATATATTTTAAATGAAGAAACGGAAAAGACTTGTATATGAATTCATGTAGATTTTTCATCTCTAAATGAAGAAAATAATATCGAAAAACATTTGTTCAAATTATATCTCAATGAGATATGATCCAATAAATATATTCAAAGATGTATATAACATTAATCACATATCATCATATTCAACCACATCCTAGGATAAGATTGTTTCTCCAAACTATTGAACTAGCATAATCCATTATAGATACTGTCTAGTCTTCGGTTTTAAACAAATGTGTTTGATTAAGAATATTCTCTTAAGACAATTGACCACTCAATCATGATGATGTTTTATTTAACCTTTCACCATAAGACATACTCTAATGTCAAGTTTTATATCAAACATTTGATGAATAGAAAAAATAAGTAGTTATCATTTCAAAAAACTTCAAGTGTGATGAGTGAAACATAAACTGTGAATAGAATATAATTATATCGACAAGCGACATAGAGAATGGATTTGATTAGAAAAACATTAAATATTTTATAGAAATGTTGTTACATGTGTCTATTTCTTAAATGAAAGTTCACATTGTTAAACAAAATCAGAATCATAGATTCAATATCTAGGATGAAAATATTTTTGACATGAAATGAACATTGATATGGAATACTGGTTTGTTCAAAATCTCTTGAGGAAAGATTGAAAATTATTCAATTATTTTTCAAAACTTTATATTTGTATCCATAAAAATAAAATTCTTGTTACTTTTCATACAATTTCTGAGTTTATTATTAATTTTATAATTTAGATTGAAAAGATAATGTTTTTGAACTATCTTTTGTACAATCGTATATTTTTGAGATTGAATATATGATTGCTAGTTGTTGCCGATATCACAAATTTAACGTTTATTTGATCCAATTCAACGGCGGTTTTTCTAGTATTTCAAAAAGGATAAACTACGGTGACTTGATATCTTTTAAATTTTATAAAACTGAAGTATACATGAATTTTGGAATTATGACAAGTTACTACTAACATGTATAATTCTGAACTCTTCAAATTGTCAGCAAGATGTATTAGTGCAAGTAGACCAGGACTCATAAATTCTGGCAAATTTTCATGTTAATTTTGGCATTTGCCAAAATTAAGATAGCCTTATTCTTAAAACTTCCAATGTGTGTGTTTTCATCCGAGTGAAATCAATTTTTTCTTTCTTCAATCTTTGCAATTCCAGCCCAAGGTGAAGAAAATAACTAAAAAAAATACTTTAAGTGATAGCTAGTCTCATAAACAAAGATGAATTGGTAGATAAAAAAATACAAGTTTTCTATATTAATAGAAATAAATTAAATAATTAGATTTCTGGCTTGAACATTTTCATTTTATTATTATCATTTGGAATTTGAGCATTTTGAATAATTTCGCATGAATAAAGTAATCTTATTTTTTTCACTCCCGATTTGCCCGTACATACTCATAATGTCCAATTACATTTCTTTATTTTACTCCATTTTCCTACATGTTTCCTGATCCCGACTCTGGGTCACGCACGCTTTTGGCCACATCTCATAGGCTAATTCACTCCTCCCCTCGATGAACTTCCCTTGGAGCTTTCAAATGGTTCGCAACGATGGACCTACATGTGTAGAGACGTCTTGGCACTTTGGCCAGATTAATTCTGGAAAAACTTGCGTCTTAAAATAGATCGCAAGATTTAATGAATACATCGGCCTCAATGTAGACCATTGAGGCCGATAGTACTAGACTGATAAGCAGCTGAGCCACCTCGTACCTGTTCCACCGGGTCCAGCCCGTCCACCTGAAAATCGTGTCCCTCCTCCAAAAGTTGCGGAAGTACGCTGATCAATAAATAGAGTACGTCGTCAGAGCGGGGACCTTATAATCTGAGGACCGGAGTACCCGAACAGGGACGATGAAATGATCACCGGGAGGCATCCGCCATGCAGCCAGGGACGCCTCAGGAGGCAACCAGGTTGGTGGAGATGCGACTACGTTGAAAGGAAACCGAAAGAATGTATTGCTGTTTAAGAAAGAATCGAAATTGAGCCGAATTTATGAAGGAAAGACACGTACACTTGGAGTATTCTTCATGAACGCTTTGAAAGATATTATTGAAAATTACCGACCACCTGGTTGGGACGCACCGGTTTGGGACTATTTGCTCGAAAAGCCCCGCTTTCCCCTCACCCCTCTAGCTGTCATCCTGCTGATGTTCAATAACCTTTCCCCTTGATTCATATGCAATATAATGAATATCACCAAAAACATATCCAAGATAAGTAAAGCGTTTGGATAGGATGACATAAAAAAATAAAAGTTAAGAAATATGTTGCGAAAAGGAAAAGAGTATCTTGTCAAGCCCCCACGTGGATGTTCAAGACTTCCACACGGTCGCAATGAAAAACTGTGATTTATTCTATGATGTTTTGACTATCTAGATGAAACAATATACATAATACAAAGCATAAAAACATCACACAATGTGAATGTCAAATAATTGATCCAATGTCACTGTCTAATCATCTGTGTGGACTATGAATACATATTGCATTAAAAGACTATACAATGTGCTAAAGAGGACAATACCCCACGGTTGTGTTAGATGGCTAACAAGCCAAATTATATTTTCAAAGTTCCATATAACTAGGAAAAAAAAATTTATCTTCCTATATACGTATACTTGGTGACATAAACCAAAACATCTTTTTTCTTTCTTGATCAATAAGGATGATTTATATTTTCTTCGAAATAATTATTGTGAGTTATTTTTAATCATTTCTAAAACAAGAACATGTTTTGTAATAAAAAAACCATACATATATATGCTCTTATCTTATCGAATGCAACACATCTATAATTTTCTTTCACTATTGACCCATGTTAAATATTGCAAGTCTATTCCATAGCTGATATTTTATATTATTTTTCAAATATGAAGAATAGTTTGTACAACCATTGACTCATAAGTTTATAATACTCATGTTGATGACCACATCAAGCTCAAAAACTTATCCTTGACACTTATATTTATATAATGAGAGTACAAGGGTCCAATCTATAAAGACATACTTTTTCAAATTTAGAATAAAATAATCATAAACAAAAATTTCAAATTTCTATAATGAATTGCATGTTGATGTTGTTGATTTACTACAGTAGATTGTGTATCTTTTATGCACATCAAAAAAAATTGAACACTAAGAATTTATGTAATATCCTAAAAGACAATAAAATTTTCTGTCTTTCGATAGTATAGAAAAAAATTGATAAAAAGAGAATATATCATGATCTCTGCATAAATTAAAAGAAGAGTAAATTTTTAAAATCAATATCGAGTAAGCTAACATTCGTACAAGATTGATCAACTTTAATTTAATCTTTTACTATATGCTTCATCAAAAAATAATGATTTTCTATTGAAAAACATGTCAACATGATGTGATACTATAGTATCACACCATCAACAATTTCCCATTATTCAATATTATGAGAAACTTATTTAAGTTTTTTAAAAAGAACTTCTAAGGATGCTATGAATGTAAAAAGAATAGAAGTATAGGAATGATATAGATATATCTAAAATCAATATTAGACTAAAATAAACCTAAGAATATTTGCAAATGTAATGACTTACATGGGGTATAAACTACATCTCCGTAATTTACAAATAAATTTTCAGCTATGAAAAAAGAGGTAAACAAAGTCGTCATATCCCATTAACAGATTTAGCTTGGGTTAAATCAATGTCATAACTTCATTCAATTATATAATGAAGAGGATAAATATCATGCTTTACATTTTGACACTTTTGTATTCAATCATAGGCAAAATATTTGAATTTTATCGACAAACCAAAATTTGTTAGCTCTTTATCTTTCTACACATCTATAGCAAAGTCCAAGATGAAAAAACTTGTTCAAAAGAAATCAAATCATACACTTTGATACTTTAACAATAAAGCAAAATCATATTGACGTGATAACTAATTAACATCATGTTAATTTAGGTCTGTCGAATGTGTATGCAGCAATGTCATTATCAAATTATCAAAGAAGAGATTATTGTATAAATTTTTCATAATGAGCTACGAAAATAATAATTTTATTAAAATTTATGTGTACTAAACATAGAAATTTTTTTCCCCATAATTTATTCTTTAACGATCATAAAAATACATATTAAAGATATCATTGAAGATAATTGAAATTTTTATCTTATCGAAACAATTGAAATCTTATTGATGGATTCTGAATTGATGCTGAAGGATTTATTAAGAACATTGTTAATGTCTTCCGTTATATACTATATAAGTTTTGTCTTCTGTTATATGCATAAATAAAAAATGAAATAAACCTTATCTTATATCAATCAGTTTGATATGTTCCATCGTAAGTTTATTTAAACTGTAAACTGATTGATATAAGATAAGCTTTATTTTATTTTTTATTTATGAAT